CCCACTCAAGGTCAGGAAGGTGTTGGCAGGCTGCTCCTCACAACTCTGAGACTAAGAAATGAACTGGACATCATGTTCTGTAGGTAATAGAATGCTGTTAGCTGTATTTGAGGGATTCATAGAATCCCAGCCTGGTTTGGGTTGGAAGGGACCTTAAAGCTCACCCAGCTCCAACTCCAACACCTTCCACTGGAGCAGCTTGCTCCAAGCCCCTGTGTCCAACCTGGCCTTGAGCACTGCCAGGGATGGGGCAGCCACAGCTTCTCTGGGCACCCTGTGCCAGCGCCTCAGCACCCTCCCAGGGAAGAGCTTCTGCCTAAGAGCTCATCTCAGTCTCCCCTCGGGCAGGTTCAAGCCATTCCCCTTGGCCTGTCCCTACATCCCTTGTCCCAAGCCCCTCTCCAGGTTCCCTGCAGCCCCTTTAGGCACTGGAGCTGCTCTCAGGTCTCCCCTTCAGGAGCCTTCTCTTGTCCAGGCTGCCCCAGCCCAGCTCTCTCAGCCTGGCTCCAGAGCAGAGCTGCTCCAGCCCTCGCAGCATCTCCATGGCCTCCTCTGGCCTCTCTCCATCAGCTCCAGGTCCCTCTTGTGCTGCTGCCCCAGAGCTGGATCAGGACTGCAGGGGGGCAGGGGGGGTCTCCCCAGAACAAGGTAGAGGGAGGAAAAGAGGTGGGGAGGCAAATGCCCAAATAAATGATCTCTGGATGGTCCCAGCACTTCAGGTTTGGGTTTAGTGCCTTCCATTGGGGTGGCTGCTCTCCACTTCCCTGCTGCAACCCCACATTGTTACTTATATCTCTGTGAGATTTTGCACTTTTTACATATTTATGAGCTCCCAACATACCAGAAATAGCCAGAAATGTTGTATATAGATTCCTAGGTTCTATTTCTAGCTGCTTTTACCTTCCCTTAAATGAACATCTTTTGAGAACACTCCAAAATCCTTACCCCCAGAAATCCAGAACAGACCACCCAACCCTATGGCTGGGACAAAGCACCAACCTTCATGCCATTGAGGAATAACCTTTCAGAAGGTTGCTTGAGGTTCTGCAGCGTGTTTTCAGTCTTCTTAGAGGAAAAACCTGGAAGGTTTCCTCATGGAATGTGCCCTGTGTGTCATTCCCAAGTATTTCTGTGCCACTGCATGCTGTGCTGCAGCTCTTGTCCTCTTCAGTTTAGGGCTGGGGCAGAAAAGCAGCCTTTTTGAATGCTTTCCCTAAGGTTTTATCACCATCAGATGGTGACACACACACAGGGTGTGAAGATAATGCTTAGAAACTTGGACCTATGGAAAATACATAGCTCAGGTATATTCTTGTTGAGCTTTTTGCCCCAAATCAGTAAACTTAGAAGCCTGAAAGCTGTGGGGTTTAATCTAGCTCTACATTTGAAGCCTATGATCCTGCTTGCCTGACAGATCCTTATATACCAGATCCTTACCTAGCATCCTTACGCAGCTTTCTGGGATCTACACACACGGTGTGTGCGTTATCCTAAGGCAGAAGACCCATGATCCATTTTCCTTCATTCTCCAGGTGGCTCTAATGCTGTAGGAGGGGGAAGTGGCGGCTCATGGATGAAGGGAGCCAAGCACAAGTAATGCAGCAGCTCCATCAGCAAGCAGCTTTTTGCCCAGAGCGGGTGATGACACTGTCCCAGAGGGGGACAGCACCTGGGTTTATTTACTCCTTTGGTCCTCATGGATAAAACCCCTGAAGTAAAGCTTAGCTGAGCAAAAAAGGGATCATTAGAGGCTCCCAGCAGAGCCTGGAAGAGGTTTGGACCTGGGTCCCACACCCCAGCTAATGGTGCAAGGCTCATTAACCTCAGTGCTAATGTGGAAAGGGGGTGTGTGTGTGGTGTGTGTGTCATCTCTGCTAAGGCAGAGGTGGAAAAGAAGCCTAGGAGTGTGTTTAATGGGATGCCAGGGGTTGGGATTTATTGTGCTGTTTGAACTGTGCAAGTCTAGAGCTTCACCTAAACCATAGTTTAAGGTAGCTGGAAGCACCAAGTGCTGTAACCAAAGTCAAATGTGCACGTGAATCACTTCATCTCCCTGCGTATGGCAATGGTTTTTATAGCTTGAACTTAAACCCCCCTGATCTCTCCCACTGATCACTCTGTGCCTGGAGATCACCACTGCAACTGCACCCAGAGAGCCATGGAGGCAGAGGAGATGCACTCCCAACCCAAAGGGATGAAGCACGTGTACTTCAGCACAAGGCAAGTGTACAAACCCCAAACCTGGGTTCTGTGGTCACACTCACGATTTTACTTGAGGCTCACTGAGAGTTTTGTGTGCACCAATTGGCACAATGGCAGCAAGCTTTAATGTTCCTTTGAGTCAATTAAAGGTACATGGAAGGGCAGTTCGACTTTGTTAGAAATGTTTTCTCATTTCTGCCTCATTCCTTGAGCTATCTGTGGCATTGTGACAGTGTGATACATCACAGTGTGCTAGTGCTACTACTACAACGATACTCAGGCCAGCAAGAAGTGAGCAGGGTTGAAGACTTTGCAGCGGCTTTATCCCGCTGCTGACTTATTTTACTTCCCTTCTAGAAGCATTTTCCCACCTCTTACTTCCATTTCTGATTACTTCTTTAAACATTCATCCCCTCACCAAAACCCCATTTCACTGTTACCTTTCCACGTGGTCACAACAAAAGTGTTTGGAGATAAACCAGGAATACTGAATTAAAAATCTCCTGTTAGGGCAAAGTATGGATTGAAACATTTAAGGGAAGACAGATCAGGAAAAACAACCCCAGTTTTTTGTCTTTAGTGCATTTTGAAATGAAGTAATTAAGTAATGAAATCTGAGTATATAAAATGACTGAACCACTGTGACTGCCAGGTAAGTACCAGTTAAGGATGACAGATTATAGCAACACCATAGGAAAATGTCTTTCAATCAAGTTTCACTGATAGCTTAATACATGTAAGAAACATGTTTCAAAATACAAGTATCTTCATCATTTGCAACTCAAGAGTTTATAATAGTGTTTAGCCTACTATATAACATATAATATTGCCTACTATGTGTCACACCATATCAGTAGTACAGTCTACTATTGTTATAATAGCATAGGGATAACTTACCCTGGTGACCAAGTGAACCTGGATGCAAGGAACTGGGTGCACGGAGGGGGAAGGTGGGAAAGGGAGAGGAAGGGTAGAAGGAGCAGGATGTGTTAGACACTAAAACACCCCAGAAAAGCCAGGCTTTCACCTTAAAACCTCCTGGGAAAAGCACACCAAGGACTTAGGCTCCACTTCTCCATTAGAAAAGACAAACCAGGACAAGTAGAAGTTGCTCAGAGCATTCAAGCATGTTTTTTTTCCAGTGGAAGGAAAAAAGCTTGTGGTTTGAGGACAAGGATTCAGGGCTGAAAACACACTCACAGGCAGAAGCCTTGTTAAATACATATATACACAGAACAAGTGATAAAACATCACCCCTCATGCTACTTTTAAGTTCTGCTCTCCCCCCCCCGCAAGTGCCTTCCTGACTGCAGATTCCACACGTAATATGTTGGGATAACACACTACACCAGTTACCTGCAATTGTATGAAGCATTGAGGCTTCCTCTTGCCAAAATATCTCCATTTTTAGGTTTGGGATTAAGGTTATGCCAAGACCCTGTGAAAACCCACCAGATGAGAGATTTGTTAAGTTTTGGGTGCTCTGCTACAGGTGCCTCTTCCTAGGCAGGATCCAGCTCTAGAGCTCCATGCACAGTGCCTGTTGCCACACTTCATTTTACATCTAAGAGAAGTTCTGAGGTGGTTTAAAATCCAGATTATAGCAGTGTTGATGGAAATCCCCTGTGAAACAAGCTCATCTTATAGAACCACAGAACGGTTTGGATTGGAAAGGACCTTAAGATCATCTAGTTCCAATCCTCCTGCCATGGGCAAGGGACACCTCACCCTAGATCATGTCACACTATCCAGCCTGGCCTTGAATACTGCCAGAGATAGAGCATTTACAACTTCTTTCAGCAACCTGTAAAGAACTTATCTCCAACCTGAACTTCCCATTTCAGTTTGAACCCATCACCCCTTCTCCTACCACAATCCCTGAGCTTTTTACTTTACAACTTGGCAGCTGCCCCCCAGACTTTTGATGCCTACACAGCATCCAAAAGCCTAAAACTTGGGATTTCCTGCATTCAGGTGTGTGCTTCATGTCTGGTCTTGGTTTCCCTCTAAAAGTGGGATTTTTCTTTACCTGTAGAACCTTCAGCAAGGATGATAAAGCCACATCTCCAGAGAATGAGAAACTTGGTGTTTGTATATAAATTTTATTCTGAAAACAAACCCCAAAGACAAGGAACTATGCAAAACAGAGAATAAAATAAAACAAGCCAAGAAAGCAGCACTATCTTTTTCTTAGCCCGGGACCTGTCTCTGTGTGTACATTGTGGAAGGATGCCTCATAGAATCAGGGAATGAGCAGGTTTCTATTCTAGGTTAATTGACATTTTACTTTCTAAACATAAATCAGAACCTGGCAGCAGAATTCAGGCTGGGAGAGCTGCAGCCTCAGCTTGTCCTCAGTTTGGACACTAAGAGGGGGACAGAATGTTCCTGGAACTGGGATTCCAGTCTTATATTAAACAAAGAAGGGAACCTGTACCCAAACCTCATTAAAGAGAGACCTTCACTTTGTTATTCCTGGTCTCCTTCCCAACCCCAGCCTGCCTTCAGTTCACATCTAAGGTTCCTTCTTCAGCCTCTGCTGCTTGCACCTACCTCCTTCTGATGCATTGTGTCACAAAACCTCCATCATTTGGACCCAGTTTGCTCTCTAAGTGTTTAACTCTGTATTTCTTAAATCACAGATGGTGCTTATCACCAGCACCTCCCTTTATCTCTACAGCCTGGGTATCACCTCCAGTCCTGGTGGCTTTATCAGAAGTTCCAAAATGCTCAATGCTGTTACTCCAGCAACAATTCCTCCCCTTCAGCTCCCCCACTGTGGCTGTTTCAGCTCTGCAGCATCTGATTCACTAACCTAGCCTTGTCAGGAAGTGCTTTGCCAGCATCCTTCTTAGCTCTAACACACAGGACAAAGAAATTACAGTTTGCTATTAGCCTACAATTCCTGGTTGAACATAAAAACCAATCTCAGTCAGCTCCATATCCTGCAGAATGTGATGAACCACTCTGGCTATTTCCCCTTTTTGGTCTTTGAGGCTGTGGCATTGTTGGTCTTGGCTTTCTTCTTTGCTGACCCCTTGGTCTCTGGCTCTTTGCGTTTGGCTGATGTGATGGAGCCTGTCACCTTGAAGAAGTCATCCAGCCTGCCCTGTGTGCTGCCCTGACGGCTCTTGCTCAGCCTTTTCACCCCATTACGGATCCGTTCCTCATTGAACTGCTTCTCCCCACACATGAACTGGACGATCTGCTCCTCATCCGGCTCGGTCCACTTCAGCTCAATAGTGTCAGGGTTGACCACATCAGGCTCTAAGAAGAGCTTCTGGGCCTCTTTGTGCAACCAGTTCTCAGGCAGAGGGTACTTCTTGGTGTCTATCTGCTGAATGATCTTCTCGATGGTTTTATGCTCCTTGATGAGCTCAACAGCACGCTTGGGCCCGATGCCACGGATGCTTGCGCAGTAGTCACAGCCCAGGAGGATGCAGAGATCCACAAACTGCTCCCAGGTCAGCTCCATATCCTGCAGAATACGGTTCAGGTGGAACTCCTGGATGGGCAGCTTCTTTGTCTCACTGGCAGTGAGATGCCTCATCAGCACAGGACTGCCAAAGGTCAGACAATCCATATCTTCTGTAGCAGCCGCATAGACCTTCCCAGCCTTCACCAAGGTAGCACAACTGGCTTCAGCCTCCCCTGGTGCCTCCACATAGGGGATTCCCATCAGAGTTAGCAACTTCTTGCACTCATCATTGTGCTGCTGGGTCACCTTGACCAACCTCTTGCTGTATTTCTCAATGTTGTTCTCCTCTCCAGCCTCCTGAGCCTCCTGAAGGTGTTTCTCAGCCTCAGCCCGGCGCTCGGTTCTCTTTGCCAGCTCCGCTGACTTCAGCTCAGGGGGTTTGCCATCGAAGACATAAACTGGCTTGATGCCATTCTCCACCATGCGGATGGTCCTGTAGAACATGCCCATCAGGTGGCTCGTGGTCTCACCTTCCTCGTTCTGAAGCACATCAGCTCCTTGCCGCACGGCGATCAGGAACTGGTAGATGCTCATGGAGGCATCTATAGCCACCTTCCGGCCAAAGTAAGACTTGATGTCATTCTCCCGGATGGCAGCAGGTGCCACATCCGCAATAAGCTTGGCCAGGCCATGGATTCCCATCCTAAGGAACAGAAAAGGAGATGCTGGGGTCAGCCTCTGCACACACATGGTGCTTGGGGTTAGGAGCTGGTGTATCACCCAAGCAGGGAGCACCAAAGGGCTGTGATGCTGCCCCTGTGATGCTGTAACCCCAGCCTCAGCACCATTCCCTAACCAACATTACACCCCACCTCAGCCTCCCCAGCACACCATTAACTCCCTGCCTAAGCTCATTGTTACACCACTTCCTATCTTAGCTTCTCCCAGCTCAGCCCCTCTCTCTGTCACACCTCCCACAACCCCACCATTATAACAGTCTAGGCCCTATTACCCTCATTCCCAGCTTCCCAGTTCCCGGCTCCATCATCATAGGATCATAGAATAGTTTGGGATGGAAAGGACCTTAAGATCATCCAGTTCCAAACCCCTGCTATGGGCAGGGACACCTCACACTAAACCATATTGTCCAAGGCTTTGTCCAACCTGGCCTTGAACACTGCCAGGGATGGAGCATTCACAGCTTCCTTGGGCAACCCATTCCAGTGCCTCACCACCCTCACAGTGAAGAATTTCTTCCTTAGATCCAATCTAAACTACCCCTGTTTCAGTTTTAACCCATTACCCCTTGTCCTATCACTACAGTCCCTGATGAAGAGTCCCTCCCCATCAACCCCTTACCTACCATTACTTCTCCTGGCTGCTGCTGTTAACCCCATTCCCCCTCCTTCAGCACACCCTTACCTGGCCCCCTTCCATTATCTGCCTTTTCCTGCCTTATCCTCTCCCAGCCCACTGGTGTTCCCTCATCCCCCCCCTTCACCCCGCTTTCCATGCAGCCTCCCCAGCCCCCAGGTAGCCCCCACCCCAGCTCAGCCTCCCACAGCCACCATTAGCACCCCTCTCCCAACACCCCCCTCCACGTTCCCTCCTCATTCTGCCCCAACCACCATTATCCCCTCCTCATTCTGCCCCAACCACCATTACCCCTCCTCATTCTGCCCCAACCACCATTACCCCCTCCTCATTCTGCCCCAACCACCATTACCCCCTCCTCATTCTGCCCCAACCACCATTACCCCCTCCTCAGAATGCCTCAACCACCATTATCTCCCCTCGGGGCCCACCTCAGCCTGTCCCACACATCCCCTCTCGCTTCACCCAGTCCCGGCCGCCATTATCCCCTCCCCATTCCCTCCGCGCTCCCTCCTCAGCACCACCACCAGCCCCACGTCCTTCTCAGCTCACCCCAGCCTCCATTACCCCCTCCGTGCTCCCTCCTCAGCCCTCCCCATCACCACCACCACCACCCGCCCCATGTCCTCCTCAGCCCACCCCAGCCACCATTATCCCCTCCCCGTTCCCTCCTCAGCACCACCCCCCACCCCACGTCCTCCTCAGCCCACCCCAGCCTCCATGATCCCCTCCCCGTTCCCTCCCCAGCCCACCCCAGCCTCCATTACCCCCTCCGCGCTCCCCCCTCAGCACCACCACCACCCGCCCCATGTCCTCCTCAGCCCACCCCAGCCTCCATTACCCCTCCCCGTTCCCTCCTCAGCCCACCCCAGCCTCCATTACCCCCTCCCCGTTCCCTCCCCAGCCCACCTCAGCCTCCATTACCCCCTCCGCGCTCCCCCCTCAGCACCACCACCACCTGCCCCATGTCCTCCTCAGCCCACCCCAGCCTCCATTACCCCTCCGCGCTCCCCCCTCAGCCCTCCCCACCACCACCACCACCACCTGCTCCATGACCCTCCTCAGCCCACCCCAGCCTCCATTACCCCTCCCCGTTCCCTCCCCAGCCTCCATTACCCCTCCGCGCTCCCCCCTCAGCCACCATTACCCCGCAGCTCTCTCCCGCCGCTGCTCCCGCGCTCCGCCGCAAAGCCCGCTGGGAGCCGGCGGAGCCAATAGCGAGCGGCTCCACTTGGCCCCGCCCCCCTGTCCCGGCATGCCTCGCTCCCCCTTCCGCTTCCCCTGGGCAGCGGCGGGGCCGGAGGCGACGTGTCCGTAACGGAGCGGGCCTGAGACCATGGTGAGGGCCGGGAGCCCCCTTCGTCACCCCCCATTCCCCGACCCATTATCACTGCCCTTCCCCGCAGCCTCTCCCAGCTCAGCCCCGCTCCCTGTCACGTCTCACTCCCACTGTTAGAACCATTTAGACCGCATGAGGCCCAGCCCGTGGTTGCCGTTTGTCGAGGTTTAAACCCGGGCAATAAGTCACCCCCCTCCTTTCCCCTCTGCTCCCGGAGGGATGGGGAGGAGAATGGGAAGGATTTAAATCCCTCGGGTTGAGATAAAACCAGTCTGGTAATTCAGGTATAACACAGAACCACTGCTGCTACCCCCAGTAACAATAATGATGAGGGAAATAACAAGGGGAGAGAATACAATTGCTCAGCACCCACCGACTGGTAGCAGCCCGACCCAAGCAGCAGTCTGGACCTTCTGGGTGACTCCCCCCAGTTTCCCTAGTGGGCATGGCATGCTGCGGGATGGAATACCCCTTTGGTGAGTTTGGGTCAGGGGTCCTGTCTCTGCTTCCTCCCGGTTTCTCGTGCTCCTCCTCACTGGTGGAGCATGAGACTGAAAAGTCCTTGATTGGAGCGAGCATTACTGAGCAACAACGAAAACATTGGTGTTACCGGTGTTGCTCCAGATTAAAGTCAAAACCCCAGCTACTAAGGAGCAAACCAACTGCTCCAGCTGAAGCCAGGACACCATTTCCACCATTGCCCCCAGCCCGGTACTTCTCCCCGCTCACCTTTGCTTTGTCCCCACAGGAGCTGGAGGCAATGAGCAGATACACCAGCCCGGTGAACCCGGCTGTGTTCCCGCATCTCACCGTGGTGCTGCTGGCCATTGGCATGTTCTTCACCGCCTGGTTCTTCGTGTATCCACTGGCTGGGGGTGTGGGGAATGGGTTGGGGGGTCAGGGAGTGGACACGGGCTCCTCTCACCCCACCTCTGTTATCACCTTAACCCCGGGGCTGCAGCTATGAGGTGACTTCTACCAAGTACACACGGGACATCTACAAGGAGCTGCTGATCTCCCTGGTGGCCTCGCTCTTCATGGGCTTTGGGGTTCTCTTCCTGCTGCTGTGGGTCGGTATCTACGTCTGAGGCACAGACAGCAGAGCACTGGGACCACCTTGTGAACCCCTGCAGCTGTAAGCTCCTGAGGGCTTGGGGGGGGGGCTGTCCAGAAACGTGGCTTATCTCTATAAAAGCTAACCTTTCCTCATACAGAGCTGGGATGTGCAAAGGGCTGTGCCTCCTTGCAGCAGCAGCCCCGGGGCTGGGTGTTGCTGGTGCTCTGTGGCCTCAGAGCCTGGCCCTGGGGAGCATGGTCCCACCAACCTCCTTTATCTCCTCTTCTGTTCTAGGTGGGATGCCCTACAGAAGCTCCTTTTGTATTTCTTTTCTACTTCAACACCACATCCCATAGCAGACATGGGCTGTGCTCCCTCGGGTGACTTCTACCAACCCAACAAACCAACCCTGAATAAAACTGGCTCTGTGATGCCTCTGCCTTTGCATTGATGGTTTGTCTTTTAAGTGATTTTGTGGTTTTCCAAACCACTTGGATTTTGGCACAAGATCCACTTACCTTGGGCTGGGATGGTTAGTTATGGATTTTCAAAGCTGTTGGTGCCCAGAAGTGTTTCAGTGCAGCAAGACTCCAGAAAATCAGTGTTTCCTGCTTCATCCTAAGCCTGTTTTTATAGCCTTCAACCTTCTCACCATCGTGTCCCCTCACCTTTTCACCTCCTGGCCATGCTCCTTCTCATCCTGAGCCAGTGGCTTTGTGGCCCTCACTCTTTGGCCACTCAGAAGAGTTTATTTATGGGCTATAACTATATTTTAATAGGTAGTTTTCAATTTATAACCTAGTTTTCAAAGCATTTGGGTCTGGCAAATTCCACTAATGAATGACATGGGGGGATTCCTCCGTCTTGTGGGAAACAGTTTTACAGCTACTGAACCAAAACCCAGTTATTTCCCAGCAAGGGAGGATGTGCCAAGAGCCATCCTTGGATACAAAGCAGTATTTATATATTTATTTATATGGGTATTTTTACCTCCAGCATAAACCAAAGTCTAAATAAGCCAAACAACAACAAAAAAAAAAAGAGTGGGGAATCCAGAGATTCAGCACTCAAATTCAGCAAAATATAAATACAAATCAGAAAGAAAGGAGGGAAACCACCTTTGTTCCCCACAAATAAAAACTGAGCATGATAATACCTGCTAAAGAATGCAACCCTACAAACTTGCTGGCAATATACAGTGATTAAAGCTGTGACAGCAACATTTAAAACCAAACAAATTAGTGCTTTACTTGTTTTCTTCCTTAATTCGTGCAGTGGTGGCAGAGTCTCTATTTACAGGCTTTTAAGCTCCATCAGTGGGACAGAATGTTTGTGAATTTGCTTTTGAAACAAACTCCGAAACAGCCAAACTTTGGCAAGTGGCCTCATTTCCACCTTGTTTTCCTTCCTGCTGAGGATGTCTGGAGGGATGAAGTGTTTCCAGCGGGAAGAGAGGGCTTTTCCCTAAGCTGGAGGGCTGGAGGCAGCAGCTCAGAGCTCCCTCCTCTTGTGCAGGGCAAGGCCTGATTGTGAACTCTCTTATTACTGATTGGGGATGGGGAACACATCTGTTAGGGCACAGACACTTTTGGGGGGACTCTGTATAGTTGTTTCCTTGGGCTTTGAAGCAATCCTGTGAACTTCAGTAATTACAAACCCCTTTGGAGCTCATTTCTGCTTTGCTCTGCAGCAGCTGCCAGACACTTTGTGATACACTTGAAGACAAGATACAAGACACTAAACCCTGCATCCTGGATCCCTCTCCTGGCACCATGGATTGCTTCAGCCCGGTGCTGCTCTGCTGTGACACAGCTGTATGTGGGTAGGACCAGCCTTGGCACTTCAGGTGTTGCCTTAGTCTCAGTTTTTAAGCTCTTTACCCCTGCTTTTGAGGCACTCAGTGGTTTATGTACATGTGGGGAACCTCTGTTCCCTTGTGCTGTCCTGGCATCAGAAAAAAAGGCACTAGAGATGTTTCCATAGCCCTTAGGCACTTGGGTTGCTGGGAGCCCTCATGAAACCCATGGTTCAGCATCACAGAGATACCTGAGAGACTCCATCTTCTCTTGGGCCACTGCTGGTAGCACTTATCTAGTGATTGGTTCCTTCCCTTCAGGAGTGGCTTTGGAGCTGCACTCATGGCTCTTCCTCAGCCAGGAACACCAGTAAGGGGGTGATCACAGGCAGTGCTTTCAGCCCTAGCCATCACAACACCCCCCATCACCTCTTCAGGGACTGAATGAGCACATGGGCATCTGACTCAGCTTGACAATACAGGGGGAAACAGCAGGTCTGAGATGGTTACCCCTAAGATTGGCAGAATTCAAAGAGCACATGGTGTCACCCACCACTAAGGACATGTCAGACTGGGCCACTGATTGCCAAGTGGAGAATAAAAGCTGCCAAGAAAGTAACTTCCCAGTTTAAGGCCAAGCAGAAGGAGGGTGGATGGAGGGAAGGGTTCTGTGTGGCTTCTTCAGAGCTACACCATGGGGTGTGCTTCCTGCTCACTGGGAGAAATACAGAATCCTGCTGAGCATGGCACGGGGTGCCCAGAGAAGCTGTGGCTGCCCCATCCCTGGCAGTGTTCAAGGCCAGGTTGGACACAGGGGCTTGGAGCAAGCTGCTCCAGGGGAAGGGGTCCCTGCCTGTGGCAGGGGTTGGAGCTGGATGAGCTTTAAGGTCCCTTCCAATACAAACCACTCTGGGATTCCATGGAGCTGAGCTGCTCGTTCATAGCTGCTCCCACCTTTGGGGTCTCTTGTGTTGCCCCTGAGCTTCCCAAAATCAAGTAGTCCCTTAGCTCTGCTCCTGCTTGGCTGCCCAGCATTCCCTGCTCACCCACTGGATCCAGCCTGCTCAGGTTTCCATGGATTTTAGTAACTGGAGAGCATAACCAGTGTATAGTTGTGCTTGGTGCCTGTGGGAATGCAGCCCTGAGCTGCAAATAGCGAGCCTATGGTGGCAGAGACACCTACTGGTGGTGCTGTCGCAAGGAATTGCAGGGCTACGGCTGCTTTCCTGGGACATGCTTGGAAAGAAGCTCCAAGATGCGTGACAGGAGATGAAAACTGCTCCTGGACTTGGAAGGGGAGGATGTGCAGAGTCTTTGCAGCTTGTTTCTCCAGAGCAGCAGAGCCATCCATGTCCTCCTCAGTGCTGGTGAAGGGAAGGAGGGATTGCTGTGTCCATCTCCACTGAAGGCAACCAAACGCAGCAGCCAGAGCCTGATGGTGATTCCCCAAACCAGTTTGGTTCAAGTGATGTCCAGTGGCAGGGCTGCAAAGGGCAGGATGTGCTCTTCTCTGAAGCCAGCTTAGAGTGAGCTTCAGGATGGGTGAGTGACATTCCCCCCTCGCTGCCTGTCCCCAGCAGTGGCTGAGCTTTCCTTTGGCAAACAAGCTCATCCTCCAGGAACTCAGATGTCTCCTTAGCAAGAGGTGCAGGAGCAGGACGAGAGGAGGACACAGGCACTGGTCGGTTGGTCTGCTGCATCCCAGCACTGCTGTAGCTTTAACATGGAGCACTGCAGCGGCCCCCTTTGGTTTTCTATGCAGGACACACGTAGCTCAACAGAGACAGAAGTAAAAGACCCATTTTTATACAGTTTAAACCCAAACTAATTCAGTAGTTTAGCAAGTTAAGAACTTGTAACAGTAAAATACCCAAAATACACTTGTCTGCTTTCAGCCAACAGTGAGAGCGAGGACATACAGTCACTGCCATTACCCCTTTGGGGGTGACAATCAGCCTCTTCAGTGCCTGGCAAGGAGCTGGTAGCCAGTGAAGCCACCTCACACGTCCCCAGGGACTCACCCTTGCTCTGCATGGTGTTACCAGGCTTTGCCAGGGGTCTCTTAATGCACATCATCTGGGTGGCTGGGTCGACCTGGCAGCTCCACGCACTGCAAGAGGCCACACACTGCTGCCAAATGACAATAAGAAGGGGTCCCACCACATTTAATGCAGGTGACTCAGGGTCATTGATGGGAAGTGTCCTCACGCATGGTCTGGCCTGGGCACAGCCTCAGCAGCAGCTTTAGTGGGGTTCATCCAGCCAGACCTGGGTAGGGTGAAAGAGTCCAGCAAGGAGGGGGACAGAAGGGGCTAAAGATGAAGCTGCACCTTCTCTCATTGTCCATAGAGAGTCCATTCCAGGTCCAGGGGGCAGGGGGCTACGGAGGGGTGGCCCTGGGCCAACCAGAAGGAACAGCAACTCCAGTGTATGACTTCCAGTAAGTCCAGGCACAGCCTGCCTTTCCAAGCCAAACTCCAGCGTTGTGCTCTTGGAAAGGGCTCCAGTGTTGAGCAATTCCAGTGTTGTGAAGAAGCAACGTGGTACATCAGGGCCAGCACAGGATGGAGCTCCCATCCGTGGGCAGACCTGTCCAGTGTAATGCTTTCAAATCCAGTGTTGCAAGGGGAAGGAGAAGCGATGGAGGACACAAGCATCCCAATAAGGGATGGGGACACAGGTTTGGGATGGTGGAAGTCAGGGTGAGGTGAGCCCAGGAGATACCAAGGGGCTGGTTGTGTTTCTGCAGCTTAGGTCCCATGTTCTGCATGTGCTTCGGTGCCTGTGGCACCAGTCACAGCCAAACCAGCCCCACGCAGGAGCTGGGGGTGATGTGGGGCTGGGGGCTAGCAGAGGAGGGCATACAGGAGTCTTCCCCAGTGTCACCAGTCCCCCTTCCTCTCTCCAAGCAGAGGGCACTGGTGCTGCCAGGACTCACTCACAGAGCCAGTAAAACTGAAGGTAATAGTCAGTGAAAAGGTGGCCCATCTGCTCAGGAGCAGTGCTGCAGTTGGCTTGGCCCTGTGAGAGAGCAAGAGAAAGAGCTGGTAAAGGTAGGATACATGATCCAAGGGGGAATTGTGCCTGAATTATGTGTTAGGTAAAGGAAAGTCATCCCCCAACCACCCAGGTAGCTGTAGAAGGCAACAGCCACGATGGAGAGGGCTGTGGAAGTGGTAAACCTGATTCAAAGAGGGCAATCGGGTACTGGAATAGGCTTCCCAGGAAAGTGCTGGAGTCACCATCCCTGGAAGTGTTCCCAAACCGTGTAGACAAGACCCTCAGTGCCATGGGTTAGTGGTGGCCTTGGCAGTGCTGGGGTAATAGAATCATAGAATCATAGAACAGTTAGGGTTGGAAAGGACCTTAAGATCATCCAGTTCCAACCCCGGGCAGGGACACCTCACACTAAACCAGGTCACCCAAGGCCTCCTCCAACCTGGCCTTGAACACTGCCAGGGATGGAGCATTCACAACCTCCCTGGGCAACCCATTCCAGTGCCTCAGCACCCTAACAGTGAAGATCTTCTTCCTTACATCCAATCTAAACTTCCCCTGTTTCAGTTTGAACCCGTTACCCCTTGTCCTGTCACTGCAGTCCCTAATGAAGAGTCCCTCCCCAGCATCCCTATAGCCCCCTTCAGACACTGGAAGCTGCTCTGAGGTCTCCCCGCAGCCTTCTCTTCTCCAGGCTGAACAGCCCCAACTTCCTCAGCCTGTCTCCATACAGGAGGTGCTCCAGCCCCTGAGCATCCTCGTGGCCTCCTCTGGCCTTGTTCCAGCAGTTCCATGTCCTTTTTATGTTGAGGACACCAGAACTGCACACAATGCTCCAGGTGAGGTCTCACGAGAGCAGAGCAGAGGGGCAGGATCACCTCCTTGGACCTGCTGGTCACGCTGCTTTGGATGCAGCCCAGGACACGGTTGGTTTCTGGGCTGCGAGCGCACACTGAAGCCGGCTCATGTTCATTTTCTCATCAACCAACACCCCCAAGTCCTTCTCCTTGGGCTGCTCTGAATCTCTTCTCTGCCCAACCTGTAGCTGTGCTTGGGATTGCTCCGACCCATGTGTAGGACCTTTCACTTGGCATGGTGGGACCTAATGATTTTACAGGTCTTTTCCAACCTGGTTGATTCTATAGTTCTAAGGCTCTCGGTGCAATGTAGCTGCTACACCTGCCATGGCCCCGTTGCTCTCCTCCTGCTCAGCCCTGGCCAAGGCAGCTCCTGGTACTCACAGGCTGTGCTACCCTGAAGTGGTAGGTGAACTCCCGGAAAGACATCATCACGAGAGGCCAACGATGCGTGGTTTCCTGGGGAAGAAAGGAGAATAGCTGGGATGAGATTGGGGCTGAGCTTCTGGGAATGTCCTCCTGGGCCAGACTAGCAAGGAAACGCAACCCTGTGCTGTCAAGTGCTGCCTCTGGAGGAGCAACGTCTCCAGGGCCAGCAATTGAGCTGGACTGAGAGGGACAAGGAGGGTATCAAGGGTTTGCTGCAGCTCTGCATATCCCCCTGCAGGGATTTCATTAGGATGTGGTCCACCCTGGACTCTTCCCACGTTCGTGGGGCTCATGCAGAGGGGTTGGATGCGATGATTCCATGAGTGAGCACACGGATCAGGTATCCAAACACCTCCGGTGGATGTCTGATGTTAGCCAGTGCAAAGTCCAGCTTTACTTGAGCATGAATTCCTTCTTGTGCTGCCCTAGCCAGGTTGCTGGCATCCCCCTGCAGGGATCAGTGGTGTGCTGGGGTGACCTGTATGGATTTTGGGCTGTTCCCTCCCTACCTGTGCGCCTGTGGCATCGGTGGAGCTGTTCCTGCTCGCAGCATCCTGGCAGGGGTCACTGGAGACAAGGCCACAAAGGGAGATGGACACAGCAGAGGAGGAGCTGAGGAGACAAGACTTAGTAAGCCCCTGAAAGGAGCAGCCTCTGCCACCTCTCTCCCAGCTTCAGGGGGACCAAAAGACCAAAGAGATGAGCCCTGTGCACTCACTTCATCTCCAGGGTCAGGTTGGTGTTCACTGCTGTGAGCTGGCTGACGGGGATGCGGTAGGTGAAGTTTCCAGTCCTAGGGACACAGAAAGAGCATTGGATCTCACCATGGTGGCTGTGAGATGAGCAGGACAGGACCCAAAGTCTCTGTTGGGTGAAGCTTTAGAGGGGAGCTCCCAAAAGTGATGCCACCAGCCTGACCTCGCTCACCTGCACGTGTCAGCAGCCGCACAGTGCTGGGACTCAATGGCCATATTGATCTCCAGGATCCGGATGGAGAGCAGCACTGGGCTTGATCCTGCAGGATGGAGAACAGGCTATTGAGGAACAGCAAAGGGATGGTGCTGGGGTACCCTGAGGGATGCCTGGCACCCAGACCACCTTTTCTTATCAGTGTGTAATCAGAGAGGGGGTCAGACTGCTGCAGGGCTGTGCTAACACCACATCCAGCCATGGAGAGCCAGGAGAAGGGATGCTCCAGACTATACCAATGGCTGGTCATCAACACTCCTTTCTCTTTGCTGCCAGCATCACTGAATCTGCGTGTTTCTTCCTCTGGATCTGATTTACCCATAGCACACCCAGATGGGGTTATGAATGGAGATGCTGCTACGGCAGCTTCAGAAGGGAGCTAACAAGAGGGTAACATGGCCAGAAAGCATAGGGCAGCACCAGGGGAGGAAGGGCTCCATCCAGGGCTGGAGGTTGAATCCTGCTACACTGAGGGGCAAATAAGCTGCAAGATGGAGACACACAGTGAGAGCTGTGCAGGAGAATCATAGAATCATTTATGTTGGAGAGGACCTTTAAGATCATCAAGTCCAACTATTAACCCATCTCTATTGTTTCCATTCCACAGCAGGTCAGATACCATTTTGCTTATCAAGATGTATAAATGTATGCATAAACATTAAATGAAATAAAATTAATTCATTACTTAAATAAATAAAAAAATATTTCAATTCAATTCATTGATAATTTAATTAATTAAAATAAAAACCATTAAACCCCTTAAATAATGTACGTCTCAAACGTTAACATTCAAAAGATGAGCCCCAGTTGCTTGAGGACGCCCCAAGAGGGAGCCCAGGACCACGGTGTCAATGCAGGGAGAGATGACAGCATCCACCTACCGCCCGGGCTGGGCTCCTCCGCACGGGGCCACTGCCTCAGCGGCTGCTTGATGCTGCGCTGCTGCCGGGGCTGCCCCAGCGAGAGGTTGGAGATGTCCTTGGCTTTGCTGTGGGTGAAGGGGGAAGAGGGGCTGGCATTGGGGCTGCCGAAGCTCTGAGACCTGTCTGGCGTCTTCGGCCACTTGGCGTAGGAAATCGCTTTCCCTGGGATGCCCCTGGATTTGCCTTTGATGTTTGTCACGGGCAGGAGGGAGGGCTGGCTTTGGTCTGTAAGGGAAAGGGAGAGAAAAGGTGCGGTGAGAGGCAGGGAGCCTCTTCCCGGTGGGATCCTCACAGCAAGGGGAAGCTAAAGAGGGACAAAGCAGGGACAGGGAGCCTCTTCCCGGTGGGATCCCCACAGCAAGGGGAAGCTAAGAGGGACAGAGACAGGGAGCCTCCTCCCGGTGGGATCCTCACAGCAAGGGGAAGCTAAGAGGGACAAAGCAGGGACAGGGAGCCTCTTCCCGGTGGGATCCTCACAGCAAGGGGAAGCTAGAGAGGGACAAAGCAGGGACAGGGAGCCTCTTCCCGGTGGGATCCTCACAGCAAGGGGAAGCTAAGAGGGACAAAGCAGGGACAGGGAGCCTCTACCCGGTGGGATCCTCACAGCAAGGGGAAGCTAAAGAGGGACAAAGCAGGGACAGGGAGCCTCTTCCCGGTGGGATCCTCACAGCAAAGGGAAGCTAGAGAGGGACAAAGCAGGGACACAGCCCTGTGCTCGGTAGGGCACGGTGCCTAAGGCAAGGTCTCCAGGAGTCTTTTGGCTCTGCGGTGACTGCCCAAGGCGCTGTTTCTCCTGCGACAGTGATGATGATGGAGCAAAGGAGCCTGCAAAAGCCCTGCTTGGGCAGCCAAGAGGCATCACAGCCTTGGAATGGCAGAACCCTGCTTGAAGCCAACAGAGGATCCAAGGTATGGTTGCTCTGGCACGCTGGACTCCTGGTATAGCCTCTCATGGCTCGGTGCTGGCAAAGCATCAGCTTCAGAAACCTCCCAGCCCTCACTTACCCCGGCTGCACAACCATGGATGCCTGAACCATGCCCCACGGGTTCAGGCTGGCAGTGCTGCTCTGTCCCACTGCTGCCTGCCAGGACTCAGTGGGTCCTGGCAGGTCCCAACCCAGGCAGGGATGTGATGGGAACCAAGCACATCCTTTTCACACAAGGTGAGACAGGGCTGGGGCCGTGCTGCAATGGGGAGGCAGACCTTGGTGCCTGGCTTGGGTCTTACCTGTCCGGTTGGTGGCATGAGTGGGGCTGGTCTCAGAGAGGGTAACAGAGGAGGCGTTGGTGGGAGCAGCAGAGCAGCACGTGGAGAAGCAGGGTGGGCTGAAGCAGGCTGACACGCTGGGAGCAGGTGAGCCGAGGAGCAGGTCATGTGTGTCCTCTGTGGCTGCAGGGCAATCAGCAGGGACACGAGGACGAAGTCAAATGGAGAGGCAGCCAAAACAAACAGCACCAAGTGCCCCCAGCATCCCTTCCACAGAACCAGAGCCCCAGGACCTTGCAGCTCAGAACCCCCCCACCTTGTGTTGGGCTGCACCCCCAGAGCTTGAGCAGCAGCTCAGGGAGGGGATCCTGCCCCTCTGCTGTGTGAAGGGGAGACCCCCCCTGCGGCCCTGATCCAGCTCTGGGGCAGCAGCACAAGAGGGACGTGGAGCTGATGGAGAGAGGCCAGAGGAGGCCATGGAGATGCTGCGAGGGCTGGAGCAGCTCTGCTCTGGAGCCAGGCTGAGAGAGCTGGGCTGGGGCAGCCTGGACAAGAGAAGGCTCCTGAAGGGGAGACCTGAGAGCAGCTCCAGTGCCTGAAGGGGCTGCAGGAAACCTGGAGAGGGGCTTGGGACAAGGGATGTAGGGACAGGCCAAGGGGAATGGCTTGAACCTGCCCGAGGGGAGACTGAGATGAGCTCTGAGGCAGAAGCTCTTCCCTGGGAGGGTGCTGAGGCGCTGGCACAGGGTGCCCAGAGGATCTATGGCTGCCCCATCACTGGCAGTGCTCAAGGCCAGGTTGGACACAGGGGCTTGGAGCAAGCTGCTCCAGTGGAAGGGGTCGGGGTTGGAGCTGGAGGAGCTTTCAGCTCTCTTCCAACCCAAACCAGGCTGGGATTCTCTGACCTCCCAGTGCCAACAAGCCCCTGGCATGGAGGACCAGCCACGTACATCACCCTGCACCACAACCCATCATTATGTACCTCCACCAGACCCTCTGCCCCACTGTGACCTACCGTGGTGCGTGGGGATCCTGCTGCCGGCTCCACCGGATGCAGCTGTGGATCTCACTGTCTGTGTTTTATCAAGGTTCTGGCTTGACCTGAAAGGGGCAAACCATGGTGAAGACATCGAGCACAAGGACAACAGTGTCACTGTATGTGAAGAGGGAAGCGGCTGTAGCAGTGAGTGGGGTGATGGGACCAGGTACATGGAGCAAGAGCCGATGCGGAGAGCACAAGGGTGAGGAGAAGCACAGACTGGAGCCATCTGGGAAAGGGGAGGCAGGAGAGAAGTATGGAAGCCATGGAGGCAGCAAGCAGAGCATGGAAAAGCCACAGCAGGTTCAATGGCAATCCCATGTCTGCCAAGGCCAAATCCCAGCTGTCTCAGAGGACAACAGTGATGCTCCTTTGATGCTCACTGTCCAACAGGGTGTACTTGGTTTCCAACAGTGCTCTCCTAGGTGGATTTATGTGCTCAGGTCTCAACACATTAGGCCATAACAGGCTCCAAGCTCTCACCATTCCTTAAGGGAATTGCCCCTTATCTCTTGGAGACAAACTGTTCCTCCCCTTGGTCATTACAGACACACACGATCCCACCTACATTCATCCCAGGTGATTTCAGGTGTTCCACTGAAGCTACCAAGACCCGAGCTGAGGACACCACAGGCACCTCCTGGGAGTAAGGCAGATGTGAAAGGGGAGGAACCGCTGCCTCACGGATGCAAGGAGCCCAGAGCAATACCATTACATGGGCACATCACACATGGAGATATGGGATAACCCAAGCTCTTGCCTTCACACACTGTAGCTGTCCACTAAGCAGGAAGTTTACTGAGCTCCTAACAAAGATCCTTAAGATTTTAGCTGTCCAGACCCTGCCCAGGAGCAGTTCAGTTCTACCTGTCCCACACTGTACCCACATCTTGCCTGTTCCTTTTGCACTGCTCAAGGTTTCTCAAAGATAAACGGAGCTTTCACTCATTAGAGACATCAAAATACCATATTGTCACTGCAGGATGTAGCTTAGTACATGTATCTCTCCTGGTGAAGGGAGATGCAGCGGTGTTCTCCTGGAGGGAATAGGGGCACAAGCCAAAGATGCATCCCTCAGCTTCATCCCCTGCATCATCAACACTTCCCATGCTTGGCTTTATCTTGCATCCCAAAAGCAGATGCTTTTTTAACAGCTTCCTATGAAACACCCAGATGTGGAGTTCCTAAGGAACAAATAACTGTGCCTTCCACTGCTCTTCACGCAGTGCTTTGTTCAAAGGAACCTGATGGACAGATAGGTCCCGAATTCCATTTAACCAAAGTACTTTCCAGCAGATCCCATAAAGCAAAGTGCTTTACAGGGTCTAATGAGTAACTCAGCACCTTGCCACCGATCAGCACCTTTCCAAACACTCCCAGAGGTGACGGCTCATAAAAAGAAACCATTTAGGGTTTGTGTCTGTCCTTTCACACAGTGAAATGGGTTGTACTTGAGAGTGAACCTGCATAATAAACCTACTGCCATACGAAGAGAAGGTAGGAACCTGCCAAGTCTTCATCCTTTCTACATCCTCCCTTTATTCCTTTCAAACTGCTCCCTCTCTGCCTGCAGTATGTAATGTCCTTATTTAGCCTTTGATGAATTGGTTCTTCCATCTCCTACTCATTCCCTTCCTCACAGGGTCCATAACCCTTCCTTTTGGACTTGCTGATGTATACTCCTCGCCCTTCCTTTGCTTTCAATGTTCCTTGGTCTTGTGTGGTGCAGATGGAAGAAAGAAGAGGAATTGAGGGATGCAGCAATTCAGTAGGGGTATAATGAAAGAGTAACATACCGTGGACACAGAGCGACCGGGACCACAGGACCCCTGTACCGAAAGAGGGCCAGGAGACAGGCAGTGGGCACAGCAAAGGAGCTACAGGACAGTGAGGGGAGATGGGAAAGGAAAGATGAGGAGGACACGGAACAGGACATGGATGATAATGGAAATGAAAAGACAATGGGAAAATGAAAGACAAAGTGGGAAGAAAATGTATGGGATGAAATGGAACCAGAACAGGAGGGAGAGGAACAGGATATGGAGGAGAAAGAGAGAAAAAGAGACTCATTATCTGCAAGTGTGAGGTCCCAAAGGAGGGAAGTGAGATAAAACACTGCCCAGCACAGGCTGCTTGTGCTTGCAGGGCTCGGGCTGTTCCCTTGATGCTCTCTCAACACTAAGGACACTGTTTGCAGAGAAACAGCTCTGGGGCAACAGCACAAGAGGGACCTGGAGCCAATGGAGAGAGGCCAGAGGAGGCCATGGAGATGCTGCGAGGGCTGGAGCAGCTCTGCTCTGGAGCCAGGCTGAGAGAGCTGGGCTGGGACAGCCTGGACAAGAGAAGGCTCCTGAAGGGGAGACCTGAGAGCAGCTCCAGTGCCTGAAGGGGCTGCAGGAAACCTGGAGAGGGGCTTGGGACAAGGGATGTAGGGACAGGCCAAGGGGAATGGCTTGAACCTGCCCGAGGGGAGACTGAGCTGAGCTCTTAGGCAGAAGCTCTTCCCTGTGAGGGTGCTGAGGCGCTGGCACAGGGTGCCCAGAGAAGCTGTGGCTGCCCCATCCCTGGCAGTGCTCAAGGCCAGGTTGGACACAGGGGCTTGGAGCAAGCTGCTCCAGTGGAAGGGGTTGGGGTTGGAGCTGGAGGAGATTTAAGGTCCCTTTCAGCACAAACCATTCTATGGTTCTGTGATACTATCAACACTCCTGCTTGGTCCAGCCCCACTGCAATAAGTGGGATGACGCTGGTTTAGTACAGCTGAAGAGGCATGCAAGGAACATTCAGCCCAGCCACAAGTGGATATATGAACAACCAAACAGGGTATTTCCTGTTCTCTTCTCTGTTCCTCACTTCTCACTCCAGATAATTTAACGGACACCAGCCTGGGATGTGTGGATGTGTGTGGTTGGCTTTACCCACTGACTCACTGGAACTGTGCTCAGTAGCCCCACAGTGGCTAAGTTTTGTGCTTCAGGTTCCCCTGGTCACCACATCCCTCCCATTGAGCCAGAAGAACCTACCCATCAATATCCACAAGGTCCTCTTCACTGCGCAAGCTCAGCACGTAGAGCGTGGACATGGACACCACACTGGAAAGCAAGAGGACGATCATGGGGCAAGGGACACGTCCCGGTGCTGATCTCCCTCCAAGGGATTCCAGCCCATGGAAGAAGCCATAGGTCCACAGCCCCTTGCTGATGAGCTGGAGACGGTGAAGTGGATCTCACCTGAACGCCATGATGATGACGAGGGCGATGATGGTGCCCTGCAGGAAGCGCTGGCTGATGCAGGCCTGCTCTGGGACAACTGATGGTGACTGCAAGAGACAGACCCCAAGATCAGCTCAGGACTCCTTATTGCTCCGGTCCTCACTCAGATCTGACCCTGACCATCCCAAGCTGTCTTCCTGTTTCCCCTGCAAGCCCCAAACCCCCTCAGTACAGAAGCCAAATAACATCTTCATGAGGCATGGACAAACCAAGGAGAGATCCTGGAAATGGGAGTATTTCATGGGAGACAAGGTCTCTCCCTCTGCAGCATGTGGAAGAGAACACATGAGGAGCACGCAGGTGACTGTTCTTAGAGAGGCCACCTTCTCCTTACCTTGCTGGCTACTTTGTGGGGCCTCTTTTTGTGGGGCACGCTTCCCGCACGGCTGAACTGGCTTCCAGTTTGGCTGCAAGGAGAAAGGAGGAACAGAGCTGAGCTGTGCGGGGACAGCACTCAAAGGTGAAAACGTGATTCTCATGTGTGGCGTGAGCGGGGCAGCAGCACAAGAGGGACGTGGAGCTGATGGAGTGAGGCCAGAGGAGGCCATGGAGATGCTGTGAGGGCTGGAGCAGCTCTGCTCTGGAGCCAGGCTGAGAGAGCTGGGCTGGGGCAGCCTGGACAAGAGAAGGATCCTGAAGGGGAGACCTGAGAGCAGCTCCAGTGCCTGAAGGGGCTGCAGGAAACCTGGAGAGGGGCTTGGGACAAGGGATGTAGGGACAGGCCAAGGGGAATGGCTTGAACCTGCCCGAGGGGAGACTGAGCTGAGCTCTTAGGCAGAAGCTCTTCCCTGGGAGGGTGCTGAGGCGCTGGCACAGGGTGCCCAGAGAAGCTGTGGCTGCCCCATCCCTGGCAGTGCTCAAGGACAGGTTGGACACAGGGGCTTGGAACAAGCTGCTCCAGTGGAAGGTGTTGGGGTTGGAACTGGATGAGCTTTAAGCTCCCTTCCAACCCAAACCAGGCTGGGATTCTATGATGATTCTATGACAGTCACAAGCCCTTGTCACTTCATCTGCTCAGGGGTAGGTGCGGTGCTGTCCCATTGCCCAGAGCACCTGAATTCTGCCCCCAAACCTGGATAAGCTCACCAGGGTCAGCACGATGATTGTGGAAGCGTGAGAAACTCTTTGCCCTGAGGAAGCCCCTCACTTACTTACTTACAATGTCACACCACGGTTTTGGGGCTGGTCTAAGAGCAGGCTGTTGGTATGTGTTTGCCAAACCCATCTGATCAATCTCAACACCTTCAATCTACCCCAGCCAACTGACAACCACCACCACTCCTCCCCATCTCCTCTGTCCCAAACCAAGCTGCCACTCAGGGCTGCGTGGGCTCAAACGGAGCCATCCCTCCTAGCTCCTGTGCCCTCAGGATGTCCATACCTGAATGCCCCGGAGCTCACGGTTGACTTCATGCTGTCCAAGCGCTTCAGCTTGGCCAGCTTGTGGCTCCACCTCTCCAGCTCATCGATGCGGGTCTCCAGGTTGTCTGTCAGCTTGCACAGCTCCTTCACAGCTCCCACGTTCTCCATGAAGATGCGCTCCTGCAGGGAACAGGTCACAGTGTGAGTGCTCTGGAACACGGAGACACTCCTGCGCCGATGGATCTGGCAGCCCTGACTGCTCTGCCATGCCCCGTCCCAAGCGAAAGGCTACACAACACCATCATATTGAGACCTCTACAGCCCCTGGATAGAAGGAGGAGTGGGAAATGCTCCATCCCTGGCAGTGTTCAAGGCCAGGTTGGACACAGAGGCTTGGAGCAAGCTGCTCTAGTGTGAGGTGTCCCTGCCCGTGGCAGGGGATTGGAACTGGATGAGCTTCAGGTCCTTTCCAACCCAAACCATTCTATGACTCTGTGTTCTCTCTGAACCCAACCAAAACAATGAATGTAAGTGCAGGATCCCTGAGAACTCTCCTGCTGGTGCCAATTCAGAGTCCTCACTCACAGAAGACATACATCCAAGGAGCCTTTGGTCAAACCAAGTGAGCAACACCCCCATCTCTGCCCTTCTCCAGCCTTCTTAGTCTGTCCCTTGCTCTACATCACAAGCTGTTGGAGTCACTCTGCAGCATTATCCAACAGGGTTAATCCAGATCAATGGAGAGCCCAAATCAAGAAGCCTCCGGAGAGCATCCTTCCTCCGCACATGCGGATGGGACATAAAAGGTCAGGCTCACATCTGCTGGCTGGCGATGTAACTGCAGGGATTTAGGCTTCCACCAAGGGGAAACAAGGCACGAAGGTCACTCCTGGCCATTCCCACTCTGGGCAGTGATGCAGGAGAGAGCTGGCAGCTTTGGGAAGCTGTCCCCTTGCTGCCCTGAGCAGCAAACAGGTTACAGAGAGGTCAGGCAGCCAGGTGCTCTGGGTTATCTTGACATAAGCACCTTATCTTATCTAGAAAGGAGAGATTAGGACTAAGAGCCTCCCTACGGGAGCCTGCCAACAAGGAGATGCTCCCTTCCCGAGGGAGATGCTGCCAACTTTCACCAGCATCAGGCTAATTCCTCCCTGCTGATGGCCGCTGTCCATCATCTTGAAAGACCAGCCAGGTCTCAAACTCATCTGGCTTAGAAGCACTTCCCAGGCATCACAGTTTCCCTCTTCCATTTCCAGCCCCACAGGTTCACCAGCCTCCCTTGGCACCAACCTTGTTCACCACCAAGAAGTTCTCAAGGGTCTTCCCATTGGAAAAGACCAGGTCCCCGGTGTCCTTCACAGCTTCAGGGAGGATCTCCTTCACCTCCTGAGCAATGACACCTGCATGGAAACAGCACAGTGGAGGGTCAAGGTGGGCTGGGCAAGGTTCCTCTTGGCACAGCTCTTTCTCTGGCCCATGGAGTCGCTATCATAGAAGCCCTATAAGCCACTGTGGGAAGTGCCATCCTCTTTCCCACTCATTAAAGAGGGAATTCCATTAGATAACCAAACTTCAGGTGGTGAGAAGCCCCCTCTTACCTACCCCATGCTTGGGTAGAGCTGGAGGGAAAGGCAGGGCTTGGCACCATGAACAAAATGTGGGTTATGGAACATGAGGTCCAGCACTAGACACACAAACAGGTCACTGTGGTGTGACACAGGGCCCATACCTGTCTCAGAGGTGTTCTCAATGCCCACTGTGGCGGCAAACTCAGGCTTGTAGTTGTAATGCACCAGCCGCATCCGGGAGATCCTTTTCAGCTGCTCTGTGGTGTCCACCTGGATGAGACAGACACATGCAACTCCTAAATGGGAAGCTGCTCCTTCAGTTCCCCTCATTCTGGCTCCAAGCAGCAAAACCCACTGCAGCTCACGGTTATACCTCTGGGAGACAGCTCTGGACCTGCTCAGACCAGCATCAGGACAAAGAACATCTGCACTGGGGTTCAAGGACTATGTCAAAACCTGGTCAATAGGAGCTCAGGTAGCCCATAAGGACCCATGTCAAAACCTGGTCAACAGGAGCTCAGGTAGCCCATAAGGACCCATGTCAAAACCTGGTCAACAGGAGCTCATGTAGCCCATAAGGACCCATGTCAAAACCTGGCCAACAGGAGCTCAGGTTGCCCATAAGGACCCATGTCAAAACCTGGCCAACAGGAGCTCAGGTTGCCCATAAGGACTATGTCAAAACCTGGTCAATAGGAGCTCAGGTCGCCATAAGGACCCATGTCAAAACCTGGTCAATAGGAGCCCAGGTCGCCCATAGGGACTATGTCAAAACCTGGCCAACAGGAGCTCAGGTCAGCCATAAGGACTATGTCAAAACCTGGTCAATAGGAGCTCATGTAGCCCATAAGGACCCATGTCAAAACCTGGCCAACAGGAGCTCAGGTTGCCCATAAGGACTATGTCAAAACCTGGTCAATAGGAGCTCAGGTCGTCATAAGGACCCATGTCAAAACCTGGTCAACAGGAGCTCATGTAGCCCATAAGGACTATGTCAAAACCTGGTCAATAGGAGCTCATGTAGCCCATAAGGACCCATGTCAAAACCTGGTCAATAGGAGCTCAGGTCGCCCATAGGGACTATGTCAAAACCTGGTCAATAGGAGCTCAGGTCGCCCATAGGGACTATGTCAAAACCTGGTCAATAGGAGCCCAGGTCGCCCATAGGGACTATGTCAAAACCTGGTCAATAGGAGCCCAGGTCGCCCATAGGGAATATGTCAAAACCTGGTCAATAGGAGCTCAGGTCGCCCATAGGGACTATGTCAAAACCTGGTCAACAGGAGCTCATGTAACCCGTAAGAACTATGTCAAAACCTGGTCAATAGGAGGCCAGGTTGCCCATAAGGACTATGTCAAAACCTGGTCAATAGGAGCTCAGGTCGCCCATAGGGACTATGTCAAAACCTGGTCAATAGGAGGCCAGGTTGCCCATAAGGACTATGTCAAAACCTGGTCAATAGGAGCTCAGGTCGCCCATAAGGACTATGTCAAAACCTGGTCAATAGGAGCTCAGGTCGCCCATAAGGACTATGTCAAAACCTGGTCAATAGGAGCTCAGGTAGCCCATAGGGACTATGTCAAAACCTGGTCAATAGGAGGCCAGGTTGCCCATAAGGACTATGTCAAATGCCCATAAGGACCATGTCAAATCAGCAGCTGAAAGACTCACAAGGACACTCACACCTTCTGTGGTGCCTCAGGTCCCTGATCTGCTCTGCCTGGCTCTCACCTCCTGGATGTCCTCCTTCACGCGGGCATCTGAAGGGTGCATCAGCGAGCCCATGACCTTCACATTGCCATGGACCACGAGGGCTTCATCGGGGCGGTCCGTGTTGATGCCGACCCGGCCGTGGTGGAACACGGTGTCAGGGAGCTGTGCCCGCTGCCAAAGCACGTCGCTGTCACTCTCAAACTGGCCAGGGTTGGAGGCCTGTGGAGAGACAGGGAAGTGGGGACTGAGAAGCAGCAGATCCAGGGGGAAGAACGCTGCAGTGATGCTGCACTTGGAGGTGGAGACACAGTGAGGAGGTCAGGATTGCCCCACAGACACAGCCCTCCATGCATGTTGTGCGACTGTATAGCAGCAGAGGCTGAGGGCAACAGATGGGCATCAGAGAGCTCCAAGCTGCTGTGGTGGCCTGGATGGTGCTGTCTCCATTAGTATGGATGTGAAACAGCTCCAAAACGAAGCTTGGCGTAAGGAGAAACACCCAGCAAGGGTGCTCTTGCTCCACAGAAATGGGGAAGATCTTGGCTGAACCTGGGCCATGTTCATCCCAGGATCCTGAGAGATAAGAAGGGGCTGTTGGGATGAACAGTGTGTTGGGATGAACGTCTCTAGGTCACGAGATCCAGGCAGGGGTGCCCTCTCCAGCCTGCAGCACACTGAATCACAGCCCTAGGAAGCCTTGAGACTGAGCTGAGGCAGTCCCAGCCTTGCAGGGACAGCAAGGAGCTGGACAGCCAGGACAGAGCCAGCAGAGGACAAGCGAGGCTGTGGAGGTCTGAGACAGAGCTTTGCAGCAGCACAAGGCAAAGTGGCAGGGACGGGGATCTGGTGCCACCGCTGGGAACAGATCCCAGCCTGCCCTGAGAGCAGAGGCAGCCTCTGTCTAAGCTTGCAGAAACCAAGGCAATGCCTGCTGCTCTGCTCCTCTCCCTAAAGGAATACCCCTGCTTTCTTGGGCTGTCTGTTATCTCAGCTATCAGAGCTGTTCCAACAACCCCAACCAGATCCACGCAGGACAATAGGAGACCGAGTGACATGGCTGCTGCTCCTAGGTCCCAGACCCTGGGGTTCTGCCCTGCTGCTGTGGTTCTGTGACCCACAAGGGATGGGGCAGTCCAGGCTGCCTGCAATCCCCTGTGATGGGCAAGAAGGAGGCTGCAAGTTCTTGCATGTCCTGAGGCTGCTCTGATGCAGGATGTGTGGAAAGGATGGAGCCAGAAGGCAGGCATGGACAGAGAGAAGGAAAGCTAAGAGTTTGGAGAAGGTGGGAAAGGGATGGGTGGGGAAAGCACTGAAAAGCCAGGGGAAGGAAGGAGGATCACCCAGGACATCCAGCAATGGACTATCGGGTACCTGCAGAGGCTGAGGGAGGAGAAAGGGACTTACCCTGACAATGATGCGCTCTGAAATGTGGGCAGCCAGCGTGTAGTTCTGGTTCTGTGCGTGTGCCTGCAAGGCTACCACGAGCATGAAGTACCTGCCAAGGGGGAAGACAGGTCAGGGTGCCATCCTGCACTGGGTACTGCTGAGCCTGCTCCCCCTCTGGAGGCTGAGGTGGGCTTGGAACATCCCTTCTCCACGTGCTGTGGGGCACAAGCATTGTCCCTAATGCCTCACAGAGTAGAAGACCCTTCTTGTGGCCATAGCAGACACCTCCTCTCCTGCACACAGACAACGGGGGAGCAATCCAGGACTGCCCCCCATGTCTCCCTCCATCCAGCCACACTGCCCAAGCCAAGGCCTGGCACATCCACAAGCCTTGAGTGCTCAGAATGGCTTGAAGGATGCCTCTGTGCCCCTCACCTCTGGTCCGGGTTGGGTTTGCCTTTCTTCCTCATGTTGTTGGCTGTGGTCTCGCTGAAGTGCAGCCGCCCCACGGTGACTTTGGTGACCTGCTCTGGAGGCAGGGTGACCCTGAGGAAGGGAAAAGGAAGAGAGGAGGGAGTGATGACACTGCTGGAGAGGAGGTGATTGGGGAAAGGCTGCATGGGAACCTCAGAGCAGCTCCCGGTGTCTGAAGGGGGCTACAGGGATGCTGGAGGGGACTCTTCATCAGAGACTGGAGGGACAGGACAAGGGGTGATGGGTTCAAACTGAAACAGGGGGAGTTCAGGTTGGAGATAAGGAGGAAATTCTTTCCTGTTAGGGTGGTGAGGCACTGGAATGGGTTGCCCAGGGAGGCTGTGAATGCTCCATCCCTGGCAGTGTTCAAGGCCAGGCTGGACAGAGCCTTGGGTGAGATGGTTTAGTGTGAGGTGTCCCTGCCCATGGCAGGGGGTTGGAACTGGATGATCTTAAGGTCCTTTCCAACCCAAACTGTTCTACGATTCCACAGCCATCTCCTGGCCTGCTCTACCAAGGCAGGTCCATGAACTGGGCATGTAAAGGGTATGCAAAGAGAGGAAAACATTGCTGTGGGAAGCATTGCAGCAAACTGGAGAGCCTGACACTCGCAGCCTGATCCTGAGACCTGCAGCTCAGCCCCTTTCACCCTCTTCTGCTGCTGCTGATGCCCCAGCATCACTTCTCCTACATGAACAGTACTCACGTCACGGGGTTGAAGGGCCGTTTGCTGCGGTCAGACTGCGACTGCTCTATGTTGATCGACTGGTTCAAGGCCTCTAGCTGGAGACAAAGATTGGGGCATGTGATAAAGAACAGAGAGGGAGAGCTGCCCCATCCCACCTCCTTCACCCCAGCACAGGGTAGCTGTCTGCCCAGCCCTCCTATCACCCAGTGCAACTGACTTGCAAGACCCAGCTTGAGCGTGGTCACTGGCCAAGCACGGCTTGGGCAATGGGGTGTCTGAGGGTGAAAGGATCTTCCCAAAGTCCCTATATACCTCCAGAGTCAAAGGTGAGTGAAAGGCAGCCCTGAAGACACCCAGGCATGGTGTGTCCATGGACCTGAGCCCATCTTAGCACTCACTAATCAAGATCTGCCTTGTCCTGGCCGTCAGCACTCTCCTACACACTCCTCTATGACTTAGCACATGAAGATGAGGTGTTGCTCGATCCCAGCTTGCTAAGAACCCCCTCTCCCTGCTGGATTTGCTGCTGGCCCTTAGCTCCCGCTTGCCTTCACTCCGTGCAGCTTCAGGTAGAAGCACTCTAAGGGTTTCAGGCCCTCGGGGGTCTTCACATACTTCGGATCTCCAAGCATGCCGATGTAGACCGTGACCTGGAAGTGATTCTTCTTCTGGCACACAAAGGCATCGTCACCCACAGAGAAGTTGAACCCTTTGTCAGCATCCACGCGGTACGTGAGCATCGGGCTGCGGAGAAGGCAACGGGGGTTAGAGCTGTGAGCCCCACAAAGGGTAATGCTGGTGGGGGGAAGGATGAGCCACACACCCAAAGCAGAGGCAAGGAGGGGTGCACGGGGCATGGTACATGGCCATGCTCTGGGGTGTGGATGCGCATGGGAAGGGCTGGGTGGACAGCTCACCTCTGTGTCCCACCAGACAAGAACAGTCCCACCACCATGGATGGTGAAGACCAGAGCACACATACAGCCACAAAGCAATCCTGAGGCACAGCAGGCACAAGGGAGGGGAAGGAGGGTTGTGTTGGGGCAAAAGAGATGGCCTCTGATGCCATCCCTCCTGTCTTGCGCTGATGCTGCTCTTGGGACTCATAGGCATAGGCAGACCCTGACCAACAGGAGCCCAACACTTTGCCTAAGCCCATGCAGCAACCTGCCCTGCTGTGCAGGGGTGAGAGCTCAGAGAAGGTCCTTGAAGCTGCAGGATTTGCTTTAGGTGGGTCCTCAGCTGGAAGGGAATACGGTTCCTGTGCCTGTGGCAGTGGGAGCCTGCAGCCAAAACCCCCCCATGTGCTAGGCTGCACCCCCAGAACACGAGCAGCAGCTCAGGGAGGGGATTGTCCCCCTTTGCTGTGCTCTGGGGAGAGCCCCCCTGCAGCCCTGATCCAGCGCTGGGGTCAGATAGGGACAGGCCAAGGGGAATGGCTTGAACCTGCCCGAGGGGAGACTGAGATGAGCTCTGAGGCAGAAGCTCTTCCCTGGGAGGGTGCTGAGGCGCTGGCACAGGGTGCCCAGAGAAGCTGTGGCTGCCCCATCCCTGGCAGTGCTCAAGGGCAGGTTGGACACAGGGGCTTGGAGCAAGCTGCTCCAGTGGAAGGGGTTGGGGTTGGAGCTGGAGGAGCTTTCAGCTCCCTTCCAACACAAACCAGGCTGGGATTCTATGACTAGGGTTTGACAAGGATGCTGGGGCAACCACCCCTCCATATGCCACACTACAGCACTAACACTATAAGCACAGCACAATAGGAACCACTACATGTTACCTGCAGTTACCTGGCTCAACACACCCTGGAGACCCAACCTGCACAGACTGCCCAAGGCCTGGAGCAGACCCTTTAGTGCTGCTCACTGGCAGAAGCAGCTCAGGCTCCCCTGAAGGGCTGTCCCACACCTCTGCTTGCTTCCCCCATCACATTCCCAACTTTGCCTGCCCTAATCCCTGCTACCGCCTGCATGCTGGATCCCCAAACTCACACCCCCCTGCTCCGGCTGCTGCCAAAAGCTTCCAGCTCTGGCAGCTCCAGAGGAGGAGGAGGAGGAGGAGGAGGAGGAAGATGAGGGGGCCCTGCCTGCCCGGTGAACACGCACCAGCTGGGGAGGTTTAATCTACATCTCTTTAACGGGCTGGTTCCTATGGGAACAAGGGAAATATGTGGCCTCTGCAGCAAGTCCCTTTTCTCCCATCATCCAAAACCCCAGCCCCGGGGCTGCTGGGCCCCTGGGGCACCGCTTGCCCTTGGTGGTGGGGAAGGAGATGCCTCTTCTCCCACCTCGCCATGGAGCAGCTCTAGCAGCACACCCCAATCCCATTGCAACTAAGGAGCTACAGAGGACGTAAAGGGGAGCTCAGCCTTGACATCAGGCTTAAAGACTCTGGAATGCTCTTCCACAAAAGCAAACCTTTTGTGGCTTCCACCTTATTACAGGCAGATACAGCCCAGAGCAATGGGAGGGGACTGGGAAGCAGGAGATAGGGAAAGGTCACTCTCGCTCCCCGGTTACCCCTTTTCTTCTGGGAATACAGGCATCCTCCCCCAGACATGCTTGAGGGGTTAATGTGCATGAAACCTGGAATAACGCTGGGATGACCACAAGCAACTATTCATTACTTGCACCCCAGGGACCCGAGGCTGTCGTGCCCTGTCCCAAACACAAACCAGACGGTGGGAGCAGAGCACTACCTTAGCGCAGAAGCACGACAGGAATTCCCCTCTGTGCTCTCACCCTCCTCCTAACCTCAGCCCTCAGTTCTCCATCTGGCTCTTCCTGATGGGGAGCAGTGGCTGGGACTGGTCCAAGCACCCCCTGTGCTCCCTCCAAGGATGGTGGGGCCGTTCCCAACTGCTTTCCCTGCCTCTGCCTGTGTCTTTCCAGCATCCCTGAGTGTTCACCACTTGCCCCGTTGTGTTTTAACAGAGAAAGATGAGGAGAGGGAGGGTCTGACTGAAATTCCAAACCATGGATGCTTCCAAAACGTGCTCTGGTTCACATCAAACTGATGGCTGCAAAACATGCGCCAACAGAGGGGAGAGTCAGGCTCCCCCTCCTCTGTCTTCTAGAAACGCCTGAATCTCCACCTCAGAGCTTCCTTTCCTCTGAGTTTTCCTTAGGGCTGGGGCTGGGGCATTCCCCAAAGTGGGATCCTGCACTGGGATAGATGGGAGGCAAGAGGCTGCTTCCCAGATGTCAAAGAGCCCAAGGATCCCCCCCAGCCTTCTGGCCATCACTAAGCCAAGGAGCTGCTCCCAGCTCACCCCCACTGCAGGATGGGGTATCCCTTGGATCTCCTGTTCCAGTGGTTTTTCACTCTCACACTGTAAATCCCACCTGGAAGCAGCAAATCCACTCGCTCACCACCATGTGCTGCCTGTGGCACTGTCAGGACTCCGGTGATCCTTATAAAAACCCATCCTCCCCTTCCTGTTAACCCAAAGGGATCTCAGTGACTATCACCCTGCCCTGGACCCAGTCCTCAGGCAGCAGTGCCCCTCTCTGATGGGTGGCTGCAGTAAATGGGGTGATGAGAAGGAAGGGCAGGTGACCCTGAAGTGGTTACTGGATATAGGGATGACACCAGCTGCTGACAAGGGGCAGCCAAAGCTATGCTGGCTTTTCCCAGGGAGAGTCAGAGGGCAAAGTGTCAGGAATAGAGGGCTGGGTTCAAATGGATTGTTTAAGCCAGAATGCCCCCACTGACAGAAGCAGATTAAGGCCAGGAGCAGAGGAGAAGAGGTTTCTCCTAATCCAAGTGAAGGTGAGAGGCTGCAAACTCCCCACAGCCATGTCTGGCATCACACTGAGTGGAGCAGGGCACAACCTCGTCCTCCACATTGAAGTGCAAAGGGAAAGACACTGCAAGGAGAGATGTCTCTAAAGGGATCTGTGCTGGGACCTGTGAGTGAGAGCAGGATCTCAGAGGGATGCTCGCATGCCTCAACTGCTTCCTCCCTGGAAGAAAAACCTTCCCCATTTCCCTCCTCCTTCCTTCCAGGTTCCCCAATACCTCAACCACTCCTACAATGTAATGGCTGGAGACTCCCTAACTCAAGGAGCACTCACTAATTCCATGCACTCATAGAATCAGACTGGTTTATGTTGGAAGGGAGCTTAAAGCTCATCCAGCTCCAACCCCAATCCCTTCCACTGGAGCAGCTTGCTCCAAGCCCCTGTGTCCAACCTGGCCTTGAACACTGCCAGGGATGGGGCAGCCACAGCTTCTCTGGGCACCCTGTGCCAGCACCTCAGCACCCTCCCAGGGAAGAGCTTCTGCCTCAGAGCTCATCTCAGTCTCCCCTCGGGCAGGTTCAAGCCATTCCCCTTGGCCTGTCCCTACATCCCTTGTCCCAGGCCCCTCTCCAGGTTTCCTGCAGCCCCTTTAGGCACTGGAGCTGCTCTCAGGTCTCCCCAGAGCCTTCTCTCCTCCAGGCTCAGCACCCTACACGGTCCCTTCAGCTACCCCAGATACACTCACATCATGAGACCTCGGTGGTCCATCACCACAGGACTAACCAAGCTAGCCAAGAGGGCCAACAGACCATGTCACTACCCCAAACCACATCCAGCAGGACTGGACCACGTCACACCGGTGCCCATCCCCTGGGTGAGATCAGGATCTGCAGCAAGGTTTGGTGTTTATAAGGACACAACTTCCACGCAAGGAGCGCAAGCTCACGTTCAGCCTGAACATGGAGAGCATCAGTTTGCTTCATGGGAAGAGGACAGCACCAGTCCCCAGGGGAGAGCAGAGCAGAGGAGCTCTGGGCTCAGCACGGAACGTTTCTGTTGGGAGCTGCTTTACCCTTCCCCAGCTGCCTTCCCTCAAACTAAACAAAGGTGGGGAGGGAGGAGGGAGCCTGCTGGCATTTATCAGAGCACACTGTCAGGGAGATGAATTACCCCTGCTCCCAGGAGGGAATTACTCAAGTGCCTGGTTCCAGACCTCTTCGGCACCGCTGCTGGAAACCAGTGAACCCCTCTGATGGCTCAGCGAGCCTCAAACCACAAAGCCCAGTGCAAAAGGCAAGGAGAACTAGATCACCCATGCCATTCCTCCACAGGCTTCAGGCTCCTTCACCCAACACTCAGAATCCTCAGCCAAACACAAGCAAAAGGCTGAGGCAGAAGCCCAGCGAGCCAAGGCACAGACTTCCAGGCACCTCCAATTGAATCCATGTAGAATCATATAACAGTTAGGGTTGGAAGGGACCTTAAGATCATCCAGTTCCAACCTCCTGCCATAGGCAGGGACACCTCACACTAAACCATGGCACCCAAGGCTTCATCCAGCCTGGCCTTGAACACTGCCAGGGATGGAGCATTCACAACCTCCCTGGGCAACCCATTCCAGTGCCTCAGCACCCTCACAGGAAAGAATTTCCTCCTTAGATCCAATCTAAACTTCCTCTGTTTCAGTTTGAGCACGTTGCCCTTCTTTCCTTCCCTCCATTTCCTTAATCCAGCCTCATTCTAAGTCTGTGTTAAACCTAAATCCAGGTGGTTCATATAATTCCCTTATCTCCTGGTAGAAGGCTGCTGCAGGGCTGCTCCATGGGGATTCCTAGGGACAGGGAATCAGTTGTCATTCACACAACTGTACTCACATTCACTGTACAGGTCTCTTAGAAGGTAAGAAAAGCTACTTAACTGCAGAATTAGTTCAGATCCCCCCATGCCATCCCAATCTCACTGAGCCATGGCAATAGGTGAGAAAAGAGAGCTCCAAGGTACAGCCCAGAACAGCAGGAAAAGAGCAGTGGTTGATGGGCCACTTCTCTGCAGCTTTCTGCCAAGAAGATGACTGAACAGAGATGAAATTGTCCACTCATTCACAGGCACAAGATACAGATGTGACATGATGTGACAGCAACACTCACTGCATAAGAAGAGAGAGCTGTTCAATGGACTCAAATGGTGCTGAGACGAGCTGGAAGAAGCTTTCACAGGGCTCCTGATCAAAGCAAACCCTAGAGGAGACCCTTCCAAGGAACAAACAACTTGCAGTGATGGCTACCAGTGGAGATGGAGCAGCTCTGCTCTGGAGCCAGGCTGAGAGAGCTGGGCTGGGGCAGCCTGGACAAGAGAAGGCTCCTGAAGGAGAGACCTGAGAGCAGCTCCAGTGCCTGAAGGGGCTGCAGGAAACCTGGAGAGGGGCTTGGGACAAGGGCCTGTAGGGACAGGCCAAGGGGAATGGCTTGAACCTGCCTGAGAGAAGACTGCGATGAGCTCTTAGGCAGAAGCTCTTCCCTGTGAGGGTGCTGAGGCGCTGGCACAGGGTGCCCAGAGAAGCTGTGGCTGCCCCATCCCTGGCAGTGTTCAAGGGCAGGTTGGACACAGGGGCTTGGAGCAAGCTGCTCCAGTGGAAGGGGCTGTGGTTGGATGAGCTTTAAGGTCCCTTCCAGCCCAACCCATTCCATGATATATGCTGGTGCAGCACCCTACCAGGAGCCCAAAGAGATCATCCATGCAGGAGCAGACGTAGGTTCAGCTTGCAGAGGCTCTCTTAGATCTACCTGGCCTTAAACCCATCACAAAGGAGCAAAAGTCCCCTGAGGCAGTGTGTAAACTGAAAATTATCGATCAACCTTGACCTTAACCCTTCATTCTGGTCAAATCCAGCACCACAACAGAGTGTACGTGGGTTCCTCAAATCTACATGAAGTCAGGTAAAAGGAATTTACTCTTTACACAACGGGACGATGACCTAAATGCCACTGAAGTGGGTTTGCTCTGGCTGAATCCTAAAAGCAGGTACTAAGGAGGTGAGCCCAAGTGGTCCAAAGAACACGGGTTGGGTTTGCAGAAGGTAAAAGCTGGGGTTTGCAGCACTTCAGCAGCTTCTCTGTTGCCAATATGGTGTAGTTTGCTCTATCAATCTGCCTGTATGATGCTGGAGTCCATGGATAACCTCTGCAACAAGGAGTATAACAGGGACTGGAACACTTGCAGATGGTCTGTGACAAACTGAAAGGGTCGTGACGTGGTTCAGATGAGAAACCATGTCCCCAGCGCAGGTAAACAGTGAGATGGAAGGGAAAGGGGACTCATGTGCAAGACAAAAACAAGGCTGTGCAAAAGGTCTGCTCCAGGATGCACAGAGCTCTTTGGACCCTGTTGACTACACAAGGTCCTTCTGTAGTCATGAAAGCCCTGATGGTGGAAGAGAGGCCAGTCCAAGGAGTGACAGACTGAGATCAAGTATGGCCTGAGTCAGAGAAGCACTTGGACACAGGGCGAAGGTAGTGAGGCTCAAGGCTAGAGGCATTATTGGCACAAAAAGAGAGTCTGGGAGAAGCAGGAACAGCAGCAATAGGCAAAGGTGGCTTTGGCAGGGAGGAAATCAGTGTCACAAGTGCCCAGAAGCAGCTGGTATTCCTCCTGAAGGTGGGAGATGCTTCCTTTATGGGAACAGGTTAGGAAAGCACGAGTAAAACCCTCTGCAAATCAACCTTCTCCTGCTGTGGTGGGGAAACAGCCACAGACACAGCGTTTCCCAATGGGTGTCCCCAGTGAAGTAACCAGCTCCAACAGCCCCTTCCCATAGGGAACAACCCCCAGCATGGCCCAGTCACCTCAGGTCTGTGTTACAGGCCGGTGCAAGGACCAAGGCTGGGGATGCACGAGGGCTCGCAGCACCACATCCCTGCACATCCCAGGTCTTGCTCTGCCTCCATGACCCGGGTCCCGGCTCCCATCCCGATCCAGACGAGGTGGGATAAGAGTCTTGGGTCATTCGGTGTCACAGACAACAGAGCACCCCCTCCTCCACGTCCCCCAAGGGGACCCCTTCCAGCCCCTGGCTGAGCACAGACAGGAGGAGGGGAAACAGGGGGAGGTTCATTTGCTCCCAGAGAGGTTCCTGGAAGCCAGCCTGCCGCTTGCCAGCTCTCGGTCACCTCCAAGGAATGCAGGGAGGATCCGGAGTGGTTTCCTCCTGAGCACTCCTCTTTCCCTATGCAGCTTGTCCTTGCACTGCCTCCACCCTTCCCAACCTTCCAGCTCCCAGCCCCTCAACTGCTCTCTGCTCCCCACCGACCTCTGCCACCCCTTTGCTCTCCACCCTCTCCCTTTGCCCCTCTGCCACCCCTCCTGGCTTCCCAGCTTTCCTCATCCCCCTCTCCCTTCCTTCCCTTCTCTCCTCTGCCCATCAACCACTCCCACTCCTCCTCCTCAGGCTCCTCTCCATGCTGCCCTCAAGCTGTGCTGAAGTGGCTCTGGATTACCTCCAGCCATCCCTGCTATGCATCGTCTAGGAAAACCTAGCACTTCAACTCCACCTCCTTGGGCAGGAGGAAAGGGAGCTGCTGGTCCCAACCACGCTCGGAGCAAGGTTTGGATAGCCAATACAACCCTCCATGGAAGACCAAGGTCTGAGTAGTTGCTGGGCTATCACCTACAGCACCAAGCCGTGTCTTAAATCCTCCATCAGCCCTGTGGAAGCACAGAGGAGTAACTTTCCCAATGGCAAAGGCACTGTGGGGAGAGTATCTCCACCACAACGCAGGCAAGCAGAGATCAGGAGGTGACAGGAGAGGACAGTGGGGTGTCCAGGTTGATCCTTGTCCCATCTCGTGAGTATGATGCCCCCAGCTTCACTCCCTTGCCTCCTAAGGTGGACGAATTACTCACAGTTCCTTGTAGTTGGCATCATACAGAGTTGCCCACTTGTTCTGTTGATGCGGCTGCCACTTTATAGACTGGTAGTTGGGATCCAAGTAGGAGCCGTTCAAGCTGTCGTTATCTTGGATCAGGCCTGGAATGAGGGGAGAACACTTATTCCAACCCCTCTGAGACAGCGTCCAGCTGGGAAGAGCACAAGGAAGCCCTTGGCACTCACATACCTGGCGAGAGCGCTCCTGGCTGGTGCCAGGGAGGTGTTTGGACTCTATCAGGGTTCAGTGGCACCGACCCCATCCCTGGCTCCTGCTTTATCAGCCCGTTGAGCATCTGGGCATTGAGGGTGTTGGGGGGAGACTCAGAGTGTTTCCTCTTCTTGGCGGGATGCACCGGGAGGCTGCAGGGACCACGGGAAAGCAAAGGCTGAGCGGGGAAGCAAGAGGTGGGCAGAAAACAGCCCCTGACCAGGCACAAAGCTGGGATCTCACATAGCAACCTGCATGCAGGGAGCCCGCAAGCTCTCTCAGCTCTGTCAGCATCTTCTCCCATTGCCTAGGAAATCCAAACACTTAATTCCAACTCCAGCTCCTTGCTAAGCCTGGGCAGCAGGAAAGAGAGCTGCTGGTCCAAACCATGCTCAGGGCATGTATTTGCCAATACAACCCTCCATCACAGGCCAAGGTCTGAGCAGCTGTTCAACTACACCCCAAGCTGCTCTTACAGCCCTAGTCTCAAGCTCAGTGGCTCTGCCAACCCCCAAGCTCGGTGCCAGCCATGCTCTGAGCCACATCTTTGCTTTCCTCTTGTCCCCACCACCCACCTCCAAGCCATGTCCATGCCCCACACCTTAGGTCATCTCCACCTCAATGCCTCCCCATCTTGCTCCCATAGAACCAAGGCAAGCTCCTTAACTTGGACTTAAACCCAGTCATTCTGCTCATGCATCCCCAAGCCTCCCTCATCCTCCCCATTCCCCAAACCCCACCAATAGCTCTGCAAAGCCCCAGTGCCCCGAGTCCTTACTCTGCTCCGTGTTGCTGGAGAAGCTGGTGCAGCATCTGCGACTGCTGGGCATGGTGGAGGTCAGCAGGAGCCATCCCCTGCCCGATGCCATACGGTGGCAGCAGGGGCTCAGCCTTCATGTACATGTCCCGCTGCAGGCTGGGGTAGTGCGGGGTGTGCTGCTGCTGGTGCGGGTGAGGAGGAGGAGGAGGAGGGCCTGGGAGATGGGGTGGTGGTGGTGGAGGAGGAGGAGGAGGAGGAGGAGGATGCTCCAGGCGAGAAGGGGGAGTCATGTGGCACATGTTCTCGGGGGTCATGGTCCGGAGGAGGTGAGGATCTCGAAAGAGAGAAAGAGTCAAAGGTGTTAGAGCAGCAGGTAGGGACGTGCACTGGGTCCTAAAGCCAGGTCCAGCATGGACACAGCACTCCTCTGCCCCTGAACCATGCTGGTTATCTTCAGGGCCAGGCTGGATGGGGCTTGGAGCAACCTGCTCTAGTGGAAGGTGTCCCTGCCTGGGGCCTGGGGGAGGAACTGGGTGAGCTTCAAGGTGCCTTGAACCCAAATCATCCCATGATGCTCATGAATCCGTATCTCGCTGCTCTTCCCCCTAGTCTCAGCATGGCTGTCTCCCTACCTACCCCATCTGCCCTGCAGTGATTCCCTTCTCATGTCAGCAGCCCTGGCTGTCAACTGCAGACACAGGCTGTGTCCAAGTGGTATCTACAGAGCAAGGACACAGCAGGGTCCTGGCTGGCTGATAAAGGGACATCAACACTATGAAACCTGTTGCACCATACATCTGAGGAGAGGTGAGACTGGAGGGGTCAGCACAAGGAAGCAGGCAGGGCCCAGTAGCTTGAAGCCCAAAGGAGCAGAACTCAAAGTGCAGTCAGGTCCTCGGGCTGAAGGGCAGGGAAGATGCCCACAGACACTCCTGGTGTTTGCTAACCCGAGGTATCATGTGGGTGCAGTGGAAGCATGTCTTCAGGAATCCCCAGGGAGCTTTTGTGTTAGCTGTGACTGTCCCTTCAAACAGGAAAGCCATCAACCACGATATTCCTATAGCACCAAGGAACTACATGGACCATAAAAGCACAATGGGGGGGGGGCAAATGATCCAAGAGTCAGGAACAGCATCTGAAGCCTGTGCCTGGAAATGCAGAGCTGCAGAGAAAGCACCTGAACTTGATTTTACTGCTTCTGGGCATGGCAAAGACAACCCATTTCACGATGCCAGAGCTCCTTGTAGCTGTGGAACGCAGCACCCTGCCAAGAAACCAGACCATCACCCATTGACAGAGCCTTGAGAAGCCAAAGGTGGGCTTCATCCCAGCCAGCACTGCTCAGCTCAGAGCTTGGGGCCCCAGCTTGGTGTGTTGCCTGCTCTCTATAGTCATGGAATCATGGAATAGAATCCAAGTGGTTTGTGTTGGAAGGGACCTTCAAGCTCCTCCAGCTCCAACCCCTGCCACAGGCAGGGACACCTTCCACTGGAGCAGCTTGCTCCAAGCCCCTGTGTCCAGCCTGGCCTTGAACACTGCCAGGGATGGGGCAGCCACAGCTTCTCAGCAACCTCACAGGGAAGATTTCGACACCACTCCCAAAGCTTGAGCCTGGTAAGGAGTCCATGACAGCACGGACCCTTCAAAACAGCACAAAGACCAGGTAAACCCAGTTACCCTCCTGAGAGCTCCCCAGAACCCGGTGTACCACATCTGTGCTGCAGAATACATTCAGGTTGGCTCGAAACCTGGTGGAAGCCCATCTTCTAAGAGGAACTGGAACTAAAAGACCCAGGCTGTGACCAGGAGCTCTCTGCTGGGCTTTCTGCTGTGGGAAACACAACCTGGTCGCCAGCCCCACAGAACAAACCTTCAGCCACCTTCTCTTCAGCAGGACAAAGCCCATCTGTTTCCACAGCCTCTACCTAAGGGCTGGAGGACCAGCACATGCAGGGACCTGCCATAGCTGTTACAGAGACATGGAGGGGGATAACATAGGAGATATCTACTGGGTCTTTGCCAGGCTGCATCCCTAAGGAGGTGCCACCAACCAGCCCTGAGCCAGACACTGGTCTGCATGGACTTTGTCCTCAGAACAACCAGTAACTGGTTGACTAATGAGGCCAAAGCACTTGACCAGGAACCAGTATAAACTCCTCCTGTTGCAAGGGCTAGAGCAGTGACCTGTATTTATGCCACTGAGCCCTCCTACTGCTGGGACAGGGCTGTTTCCACCCGTTCTGCTCCCGGCCAAACTCTCTCGGAGCCCTTCTCCAGCACACACGGAATGGATTCCTCTGCCTTCTGGAGCTGTCCCAGGGACCAGCACTGGGGCTCCAAGGAGGAGGGGAGGTCTCCATCCCAAGGAGGGTGGAGATGAGGACCAAGGCTGAGAGGTGACGCTCCTGGGATAGGGTATTCCTCTGCTTTCCAGCTGGTGAGAAGTGATGGGGAGCAACATCCCCCTTCCCCAGCTCCGCTCCTGCCATCCTGACGAGCACCCAACTTCCACCTCGGAGCAAAGACTAGCACCGCTCAACAACAAACACAGCCAGCCAGGCAGCCTTGGCACTGCTCATCCCAGTGATGGATACAGATCCAACAGCATCAGAGCAACCCCTGGAGACCCAGCCTGCATAGGAGGACAGTGGCGTCAGGGCTGGGAGAGGAGCCTCGTGTCCTCCCCTGAGCAACACTGCAAGAAATGCATCTTTACAGCATCTTAAGTGAACGTTCTGACCCTGAGCGTGGTCAGCAGAGGCAATTGGTGGCCCAGGTACGAGCTGCAGCTCCCAAAGCACAGCCCATGCATGAGTGCTCGAGAACACACATATCCTCACAGCAGACATTGCATCTTCACCGTGTCCATCTCCACAGCACCATGGCACATCGCCATTTCACATCCCCATTTCCACAGGCTCCTAGCCAAGACGGGGATGCTTTTACCAAACACAGGACCCGTGTTCTGTGCTTCCCGGCTCCAGGGAAAAGAACAGGTCTGGGAAACCAACCCTTCCCTCCTGAGGAAGGAGCTGCTCTGTGGGGGCTCCCCGGAGCCTCCTCTCCTCCCCATCAGAGCAGCTCTCCCTGTGGAGCGCAACCCGGCCTCTTTGTTATATTTAAGGAAGGGGCAGGAGGAATTCCAGGGATTTTTTTTAGCAAGATAAACAGAACTCTTGACCTCTTCCATCAAAAACCAGGAGAGCGGGAGCTGCTCCTGCTGGGGAATGGGGAAGGGGTGCTGCTGCCGAGGGGGAAGGGAGACCAAAGCAACCTTCCTGCCATCACTGAAGGTCACAGGGACCAAACAGCACTCGGTGGCTTCCCCAGGGAGAGCCTGGCAATGACCCTGCCTCTGACACCAGCTCCCTGTGCCCTTTGCTAACACACACACACACACAGCCCCCCTCTTGGATCACACTGGTCCCATTGGAGGGGAGGGAAAGGCTGGGAAGGGACTTACAGCTCAACGGCGGGTTCATTCCTGCCTCCTGGAGCCGGGCTCCATGTCAGGGACGCGCTCACATTCCTTCCCTTTGGCTCCCCCGAGGTGCAGGGATAAGGCAGGACAAGGAGGTTCGGGGGCTCCACATCCCACCCTGCCCGGGACCAAGCTGTTCCCACCTTGCCTCCTGCTCTCCCGTTCCTTCCCTCGTTCCCTGGCAAAGCCCAGGAGCAGAACAATAGGGAAAGTGGAGGGATATTTACTAACTGATAATCTCCCCACGTACTGCAGCCGCCTGTTTTCTCCCGTCTGATAAAGGTTGCAGAGCCAACCACTTTCCCAGAACAAAGAGGGGGAGGATGTTGGGATTGGGGTTTGGATTTCCTTCCCCCCTCCCTTTACTCTCTCTTGGAAGCACTTACCATTCACCTGCTGAGGGGAGTAAGCTTCTGATCCAGAGTCCGGGGGAGAGTCAGGCAAAGTGCTGCAGAGCAATGGGCAAAGAGAAGGGGAAAGTCATTTGAAAGCAGCTTCCAGCACAACTGAGAGGGCCACTTCTACCAAAGCACCCTCCGAGCTCTGGGTGGAATTCCCAGCTGCTCCCACAGCAGATTCCCATCACCTCATGTGTGTCCCGGTGGCCGTCACTGCCACCCCACAGCGACTCCCTGGCCCTCAGGAGCAGGGATAGACACATTGACCTGCCAATGAGACCTCCAGCAGAAGAAGCCAAACAGGAATCGATCCATTCCCCAGGAGAAAGATGGGGGGAGAAGGGGGCCTGGGGGAGAAGCTGGGATCTGATGCTGGGAAGCCCATGGGATGGATTCTGCCTTGTGACCCTGTACGAACCTCAGCACCACCACAGCTGCTGGCTCAACACTCTGGCTCTACCCCGTTATCACCAGGAGCAGGATTGGGCTCTGATGGCCCAATCCTTCTCCAGCACAAACCCATGGCTGGGGGGTTGAGGACCAGCCCCATTGTCGAGAATCATAGAATGGGTTGGAAGGGACCTTCAAAGCTCATCTAGTCCAATCCCCCTGCAACAAGCAGGGACATCTTGAACAACCTCAGGTTGCCCAGAAGCACATCCAGCTTGGCCTTGGATATCTCCAGGGACGGAGCATCCACCACTCCCCAGGGCAACCTGTTTGTGGTGGCAGCACCAATGCACCGCAGGGAGCTGGTTAGCTCCTGCATCCTTCCTTATTCCACCTCTAGTCAGCAGAGATTCCAGGTACCTGGGCTCTTCAGCCACTTCCAAAGCAATTTTTCCTTGGAAATTCATTTGAACCAATGTCCCTTTTCCCTTCTCGCAGCTCCTCCTCAACACACACCCACTGCAGCAGAAGCTTGGGCCTCACACATCTTCAGGCCAGGGTAACAGTTCCACCTCCCTGGTGCACAAGTAAAGGCTGTGCTTGTCTCAGAAACTGCTTCCCCTCTAGCAACAGTTTGGAGATGAAGTGGATGGAAAGGGCTGAGGTCCTACTCCCACCTAGACCAAGCCATGGTCACTGAAGCCGAACTGCAGCAGGGCTGGGCAGGGAGATGGTGGCTCTGGTGGAGCCATGATCCATGCTTTAGAGGAAGGCTCACTTCACCTTAGCATTCACCATATGGTGGAGATCTCCGACAGGGAACTCTCTTCTCAGCCCATTCACACCTTCTCCATCACCTCAGCAAAGCCCCTGCAGATTCCAACAGCCCAGAACCTCAAGCCAAAGGTGCTCCATCTAAAACAAACACTGCTTCCCTCCCCATCTCCTAACCCCTCATTCCTCATCACAACTGGATTTTCAATGGGGATCCTTTTCCTGTCTTAAACATCAGCTTTGTGGCTGCAGAACAACCCCAGACAAACCAGTGCTTCTGGGAGGGAAGCTGGCCAAAAGCAAGGAGGTGCTTGGGGCTATGGGGAAGGAATGGGCAGAGCATCACACACACCTCAAACGCCGCTCCCACCAGGACCTTCTTGCACCAGAGGAGCCCAAGAGCCAGTAAACAGGCTCATGGTAAGTGATAGTTGGAGAGGGATGAGGCACCAAAAAGCCCTCACCATAGTTCCCTCATCCTCCACCTTCACTTACAGCACCTTCCCACCGCTCCCCTCTTACCCTTGGTCTGGAGCATCTAGCTCCAGCCTTATCCCCAGGCTCCTTGCTGTGCTGGCCATGACTTCAGACTGTATTTCCTATGGATTTATCAGGATTTGTGCCCTGCAAAGCCAAGTTCTGGCCAATAACAAAAGGGTCTGGGACAATTCACGAGTTCTGGGGGCTGGAAAAGGTCTTGCAGCAGAAAGGTGGACACTGCAGGGTTCACACACGGAGGCAGTGTGGATGTGCTCAGTCCAAGGGAAGGGTTTGCTGGTATCCAACATGTGAGACATCATTCGTCCAGGAAAAGCCTAATACAACCGGGAAGAATCCTTCTGGGATGCTGAGGAAATGTTGCCGTTAGAGCCGACCCAGTTCACCTACATCCAAACCAAGGTTTCCACCTCTAATAGCAAGCTATGGTCTCCACATCCTGAACGCCAGATCCACGCAGAAGAAAGAGACATGACATGGGCACGGTTTACCCTGAGCTGCCTCTGGGAACACAGCAAGGGAGAATTCCCCACTTTGGGAATAGAACAAGAGCAGGTTTTGTTGAGCTTGTCTCTTTCTGGGAGATCCATCCATGTTCATCCAAAGGGCCAAAGCCATCCCAACGGAGCTGCTGAATCCTTGGTGCGCTGGATGGAGGCTTCCAAACCTGGGAATCACCACGTTGTACTTGCTGGCAACACTAGAGGGCACAAGGCAGAGGGAGAAGAGCCAGGCAGGGGCTTGCAGGGATGAGCAGTCCTCGGTCCTTACATCCACCATCCCCACTGGAGAAGGCACAGGGATGGGCTGTGCCGAGAGCACATCAGGGCCATCCATCACCTGTGCTACAGAGGCAGCTTGGACCACGGCACAGCTCCTCACGGCACGACCAAGGCCTCCTGCTGCTGAACATGCTGCTGAACACTTGGATTTTCATCTGTCCAGCTTCAACCATCTTCTTGCTTCACACCCCTATAGCTGGAGGAGAGCAGCACGGACCACAGGTCCCTTTGGGTCTCCAAGCTTTATGCCTTCTAGCTCCCATCCCAGACACCATACCCTTTCACCAAGCTGTGCCTGCCTGACCTGTCTCTACTGACATGGTCTCTGTCTGGCCCCTTTGGCCACTCCAGATGATGCTGGGCCACGATGCTGGGCTTTCCCAGCCTCCCAGGGTCATTCCCTTCCTGCCTGTTCCATGCAAGGCCATTCCAGAGAGCAGGAAGCACGTGCTTTCTCCCACATTGATTGTCCAGCAATGCTAAATCCCAGTCATCCTCTTCCCCTCCACTAGGTCTGCATTCAGAACTCATTGCAAAGGAGTACAAATCCAGCTCAGAGCCACCTTTTTCTTCTCTTGAGTGGAGTATCTACAACATCAGGACATGAGAGGCGCATCTCTGTTCCCATTTCAGTCCACATCTTCCCTATGGATGGTCATGGCAACATCCCGGAGACTGACTTTTGTCTTGTCCCATGTCTCTTCCTTCTTAAACCCCCCACAATGCTAAAACATTCTCCCATCACACGCTTGGAGATGTGCAGCACCGACATCACCACTGATCCTCTCGAACTCAATGCATAAGGACAAGATCCACCAAACAACCTTTCAGGACCTACCCTTGCCATAAAGCATCAATCTGTGAAGCCAGGACCGATGCTGTAGCAATGGGACCAACCACCACCAACCCTCCAGGCCCCACCAGCCTGGAGTAGCACTTGTCCCACCAACTGCCCTTGTTCTACCACCCCGACCCCACTTACCCAGGTGCGTAGGAAGCCTTGGGCTCTGATTTGATTGGAGGGACCACGTTGTTCAGGCAGTGGCCACCAAGGTAACCCTTGGGGACCACCATGCCATTGTTGTTATTGCAGTTGAGGTGAGCACCGTAGCCCGGTCCACAAGGGTTGGCCAGGAGAGGACCATGCCGCATTGGGATCTGACTGCCCGGGGGTGGAAGGTGGAGGGAACCACTGGAAGTGGGGTTGGTCCCATTGGCGATGGAGCTGGGAAGAGGCGCGTTGATGGTGGTTGAGCTGGAGGGCTGGGGGTGTGCATAGCTGGCTGAAGCAGGGATGTCAGGGAAGCAGCTGAGGGAGAGAAGGGGACAACCTCAGCAGAGGGACACTTGCTGCTCAGCCCACCCCTGCCCAGCCATGCAGCGATGGGGATGGAGCTTCTCATGGTGCTGTGGGACACCTAAAAGCAGGCAGCGCTGTGGTGGCACCAGCAGGAGCGTACAGGGAGGCAGGTCAGTCACCTGGGATGGGGGGACTGATGCTACCCAGGGAGGTGTTAAAGGCCAGAGACAGTGGGAGACAGCAGGACCTGCAGCTCACCCAGGGAAGGTGCTTTGGCACATGAGCCCCAAAGATCCTGCTCCCCCCCTGCAGCCCAGGTCTCCTTGGTGGCCATCAAGATGTGTTCCCACCTCTTTACCAATCATAGAATGGTTTGGGTTGGAAGGGACCTTAAAGCTCCTCCAGTTCCAACCCCTGCCACGGGCAGGGACACCTTCCACTAGAGCAGCTTGCTCCAAGCCCCTGTGTCCAACGTGGCCTTGATGTTGGCACACATCCCTGCTCCGCACTCATGGAGCTCCACACTTCCCACTGAGCTCCTAGTTCTTGCTTTCCCATTGCTCAGATTAAGGAAAAGCTTTTGTGGTGCCCTCAAGGAGGGGAAGGAGAAGGACCAGAAGAGACTGAGGACATTCAAAGGCAAGAAGCCAGGAAGAGACAAGAGGAAGAAGTGGAAATGAGAGCAAAGAACAATAAAGGAGGATTCCAGGAGGGACAGAGCTGCTCAGTGACTCCTTGAATTGCAGGGCTGGACATTGCTCAACATCACACCCAGAAAACAACAGAGAACAGAATTCCTGCTGTGGAACAAGTGAAGAACTTACATATCGGGTGAGTCCTCCTTGCTGATGTACTCTTCCAGGATGCTGGTGTCGATGTTCGATGGTTCCAGAGCTCCATTAATGTCGTGGCCTGGGAAGGGAGAGGAGGTGGAAGCATGAGCCATGAGAAGGACACACAAGATCCTTGCTTCAGAAACACCACCAGAGCTTTGCAGAGTCAAGAAACTCATGTGAGAACATCAGTTTGAGGACTGTCATCTCTCCATACCCGTCTGCATCCCCGTGTGAGACCAGACAGGGAACGGAGTGCCTGGGACAAGCCAAGGTGGTGACACTACCTGGGATGCTGGTCACAAGTGAGGCTTTTCTACAGCCATTTGCAAGCACTGCTCTGGCTGAGGGACCCATGGGCTTCCCAGGACCAGGCTCAGGACACGTGGGAGAAGGGAGATCTTGGGGTCAGGACTCAGCTATGCAAGACACATGGCTCCACAGAGCCCGAGAGCCAGGTCTTGCCCAACCACCACAACAGCTTTGTCAGCGAAGCTGCAGGACCCGCTGGCCGCACTGGGATTGATGGAAGGGCTCCCTTTAGCAGGCCAAAAGAGAGCACAATCCCTGCGAGGCTCCGGGGGTGCTGGCAAAGCTGGTTTCCATCCCTTTGCATCTTTGGGCTGGAACTTCTCCACCGCTGCTGCCATAGCAGCTCTGGATGAGGTCCCGACCCCGCAGGACCCCTCCTTTCCATCCTCTCCTCTCCTCCATGGGCAAGCAATGGCCTTCCCTCTCCTTTCTCCTGCAGGATTCCTCCTCCCTCGCCTGTTCTGGGGAAGCCGGGCTGGGGTTTGTTGACAGAAAGTGCTTTCTTTATCTGTGCCTCTCAAGTGGGAGGCTGAAGCCCTCTGGGGCCGGTGCCAAAACCACTGCCAAGAGAGTGGAAGAGAAGGTCCGGCTCCCCCCACCGCAGATAACAGAGACAGCCCCTTCCTCAAAGACCCCATAGCACCACGTTAAAGCACATCCCTTGCCCAGGAGAAGACCCTGACCCCAAACTTCCCCCCTCTATGGACCATGCATTGGGAAAGGTCAGCCGCTGAACCACAAAGCCCCGGCTGGGGGGTTTCATCCCAGCCCTGGCCAATGGCAGCTTTCCCCTCTGCAAATCCCTTTCATACCAAGACAAGCAAATGGGCAGAAATAAATCCAGCTAGGAATTCTGCCAACACAGGGTGTGTGTGCGGATGGAGGGATCTCTGCCTTAGAAACCCTGGCTAAAGGGGGGAAAACCTGGGTAGCTGTTTGCTTGCGAGGCACCTAACCCTTTGTGCACCACTTGCCTCCACAACAGAGCTCAGGGACATGGAGAAGGTGGGAATGCTCTCCAATGTAAGCTCTTGCTATGGAAGGATGTATAGTGGAAGGTGTCCCTGCCCACAGCAGGGGGTTAGAAACGGATGATCCTAAGGTCCTTTCCAATCCAAACCATTCTATGATCCGGAGCAGGGATATGTGATGCTGCTGCTAGGGTAGCACTGTGGTGAGAAGAGGACAAGGCAGGCAGAGCCTATGAGGTCCCAAGCTGTGCCAGCACCACAGGTCAGCACAGGGGTACTCCTTTGTGACAGCCATGTCCTCTCCTGAAGTTGCAGTGAGGTGGTAGCAACTATTCCTGTTATCCTGCTCCATAGAGTCATGGAATGGTTTGAGTTAGGAGAGACCTAAAAGCTCATCCAGGTCCAACCCCAACCCCTTCCACTGGAGCAGCTTGCTCCAAGCCCCTGGGTCCAACCTGGACTTGAACACTGCCAGGGATGGGGCAGCCACAGCTTCTCTGGGCACCCTGTGCCAGCACCTCAAGCACCCTCATAGTGAAGAATTCCTTCCTTACATCCAATCTGGATCCCCCCTGTTCCAGTTTGAACCCATCACCCCTTGTCCTATCACTGCAGTCCCTGACGAAGAGCCCCTCCCCAGCATCCTCGTAGCCCCCAAAAGCTATAAGAAAACTTGTCTTCTCCCAGGTTCCAGGGTTGGGACCCAGGTTCAGAGAAGCAGAAGAAGGCACTTCACCAATTCTGCTGCCTTTCCACAAGCTACTGAACCTGTGCAAGAAAAGCCAGACCTCAGCTTCCTTCCCACCTCCAAACTCCAGGAGCTCCTCCATGGTGGAAGAGGAGCCCAGGACCTATCCAGAAAGGACAGGAGGCCCTCGATAGACAGCGCTGTGCTGGGCTCTCCTATTTCTTTGCTACCTTGTCTTAAAAGTCACCTTCAGGAGCCCTCAGGTGAGACCCAGACGAAGGGTGAGATAAGCCCCATGACGCGAGCGGTGGGTCAGTTGTGCTGCTGCAGAGCTGGGATGTGATAACAACCACGGTGGGGTCTGGCTGCACGTGTGGGATGGGATAGGGGTTTCCTGATAGGAAGAAAGGACATTCCATGTGCCAGATGGGGTGAAACAGGCGTGTGAGGGCAGTGGGACCTGCTGCATGAGGAATGTCCCACCACCCATAGCTCCCATGCAAGCCGGGCTCTTACCTAAAGCCAGCTTTAGGTGATTAATTACAGGCTAATACTTCTCCATAGAGTCACGAGCTCCCAACGACAGGAACAGTGCTCCCTCCCCCTCCAAAGCAGGGATTAGGGGGAAGCAGGAAGCCACCCTGGGCAGTTCAACACCCACAGTCAGACCCCACATCTCACCCCAGTGAGAGATGGAGGAGCCCAGTGCTGCTGGCCTTGGTCCTCTTCCTGTGGGGAGAACAGCAGTGACCCGCACACAGCATCTCATTTCCAGCCTTACCTCTGCACCAGTGCCTGCCCCAAAGAGGACATAAAGGCTCTTGTCACCCATAACCTCTTTGCTGTCCCTAAAGCTCAGCAGGAGGCATTCTGCCTTCCATCCCTCAGCAGCAAGCTGGGAGAGATGCTGTAGGTACCCACAGAGCCACCCAAATGTTCTTGCGCACAATGAACATCCCGAGGCAGGGATGAAGTAATCCAGCCCCTTCTCACACACTGACATCCCAGTACTGACACGGAGACTCTTCCAGGCCACCCTTCTGTTTCCCAGCTCCTTCAGCCAATGCTGCTGCAAAGCATCTCCCAACCCTCCCATGTCCCTATACCCCGTCCTCCTCTCGGCCACCCGGCTCCGCTTTCCAACCCCTCCACTGCAAAAGGATGGAAGGGATCCACAAGCAGCCTGAAGAACACGCTGTTAACTGCACCGCAGCCTCCTGGCGAGCAGAGGCCCCCGTACGTGTGAGAATGTCAGGAATCCCAATGTTTGGACTGGTTTTCTCTGCCTTCCCCAAAGCTCCAAACACATCCAAACAGAGGTGCTTCCCCCTGCCTCCTCCCTGCTCTGCTGGCAGCCGGTGACATCCTCTTGGCTCCCTGTTTTCAGGTGCTTCAGCGCATCCTGCATCCCATCCGAGACGGGCTCGGGAAGAGTTAACGGCGTCCGGCCCCCGCGAGTTGTCATATTTACAGGTCTGAGAGATTAAACCCAGAACGTACCTCGAGTGGTAGGCTGAGTTTATGGTATTTCTATTTATAACAGGCCCTCCCCCCTCTATTCCTGCTCTGTTGCTTGTCTTCTAATCACCCCTAATCCTGGCTGGGTCACCTGGGGGTGGGAGGAAGGGAGAGGGCTGAGGAACTTCATCCTGGGATCTGCTAACACGAACCAGATGTGGGAACCTGGAGATGACAAGGAGGGCAACTGGGGAGCATCAGCCAAGGGTGGCGGAACACCAGGGATGAGGTGGAAGAGAAGAGGCTGTGCCAAGCCCGGAGCCTCCCCATAGCACTGAAGCCATGTAAGAGAAGGGGGTGTTACTTCTGGGTTTCAGGGAGCTATTGAAGGTATTAAAGCACCATTCTCTGACCTGAGTGCTTGAAAGACAGCAAGAAGAGGACATCTCCATTGGCAGCATTGCCCAAGGTGCAGCAGAGCCAGGAGAGGGAGTAACCTGCAGGTGAGAGCAGCACCAGAGCTTTGCTTTGAAGTCCTTGACCTACAGACGGGCCAGGTCCATTATCTGCTGCAGGCAAACCTTCACCTGAAGCCTGGTGCAAAGGGCAGGGAGCTCACTCATGTCTGTAGCAGGGTCAGAGCCATCAGTCACAGCAGAGAGGAGGGTGGTGGATGGGGTGCTGGTGGTACAGAGGGTGGCTGGAGCCTGATGGAGAGCCTGTAGCTTTGGGAGCAGTTCATGGAACGGTTTGGGTTGGAAGGGAGCTTAAAGCTCACCCAGCTCCGACCCCTGCCATGGGCAGGGACACCCTCCACTAGAGCAGCCCCTGTGTCCAACCTGGCCTTGAACACTGCCAGGGATGGGGCAGGCAGAGCTTCCAGCAAAGCACATCTCTCTGCCCAAGGACCTCCCTGCACGAAGCACATTAAAGCAGGATGCTCATGGGGAAACTGAGGCACAGAGCACCCTGGTGACAAAACCACCACTGTACAGGGAGGCAACAACAAAATACCCAGTGGATGTAGAGTGGAGCAGGACCTGGCTGCTGATTCCACATAGGAAGATGTGGCATTCCCTCTCCTGATGGCTCTCCAGCACTCCAGAGTGGGTGCAGAGCCCTGAGACACAGCTCTGAGCACGTTCCTGTGGCTGTGAGTGAGGAGTTGTGCAACCATGGGGCTGGGCTGCCGCATCGGCACATTCCCGGGGCCTCCTGCTGCTCAGCACCCCCCTTTTCCTTCCTTCCCTGTTTATCCTTTGGTCCTGGCAGATTGGCTGCTGGCCTGGCCGCGAGCAGGAGGAATCTGTGCTGGGGCTGGTTAACCAAACACTGCCTAAGCCCAGGGTGCTGCAGGGCCAGCGCTTGGCTTCAGACCTCCTTCCCCATCAGCAGGACCCCATCTGCATGCAGGGTGATGCTTGAGCATCCAGCGCGACATCCCTGCTCTGCTTAGGTGGGGATTGCATCCTTCCATTCCCATGCATGGAGTGGGATACAGTGAGGAATCACAGCAATACCCTGCCCAGAGACCTGGGCTGCACATCCGCCACCCGCAGTGGGGATATGCTGCTTGCATAGGGGACAGTGGGGTGATGTCCCCATCCCTCCATGCACCCAACCCTGGGCTGTCCAGAGGGTATGGAGGGA